GCGGCCAAGTCACCAAGTCTTGCAATTTGATTGGATAATCTCCGACGTACGTAGAGCGGCCGCTCTGAGAGTAGAACCAGGTTCTACTTTCAAAGCGTACAAAGTTTGAACGTGACGGGCAAGAATATTGCATCATACCGAGTCACTGGGCATGCGCTGACTTGGCCGCACCGTACGCGCGGCCAAGTGGAGGTCGGCCTTTAAGCATGCTGGATAAATAACACTCCCGGGAGATTCTATGTTGCTATTCCAAGTTCCACGCTAAAGACGATCATCAGGAAATATTCACGTTAATATATATACTACTTAACGTTTAATGAATATTGGCTAAATGAAGATTACCTTTTGGTGGTCTGTGGTCTATGGCTCGATGTCTTGACTCCTGCTTAAAACGATTTAAAATGAAAATTTCTCTTTACCGGTCTGTCACAAAGTGCTCGATGACGTATAGGCAGAGCTGTACACGCTATTTGGTGTATAGAACAGGACGCTTCTAAGTTGCAACTCCGAGTTTCACGCTTATTGTGATCGCAAGACATTGTTTGTTTATTACTAGGCTATTTGTGTAAAAGCATATTGACTAATGAAGATTAATGATGATTACCTGTTTTATAGTCCTTGCCAACTGCCTAGCTAGCAGAGGGTGAAGGGGCGACACCCTCCCGCTTCATTCTAAATGATTTGGTTGGTAGAAATTCAGTTGGTCCAAAAACTCCTTAGTTTGTCGGTAAAATCGTCTATAGGTAGGCTAAGTAACACTTAAGTTGTTCTTCATCTTTGATTAACTCGACAGATTTTACTATGGAGGATTCCTCAATTTTCTATAGAGGATTTCTCAATCCACCAACCCCCCCCCTCCCCCCCCTAATGCCTTCCCTCCCCTGGTCTGGAAGGCCAAGCTACGCTACTGGTGTTCGATGCCTCAAAGACATGACTTTACATGCTTGGTGTGTAGAACGGGACGATTCTTAGTTGCAACTTCTCGTTTAATGTAACCTCGAGATGTTGGCAAAGAAATTATGTAAAATAAGTTTGAACTTTCTAAGACATAATTTTCCCAAACAAAGCTGTTAACAAACATGAACTATACTATACTTTATTTTCGTATTCTTTTTTAGTTTTTCATTCAAAATAGCAAAGACGAAGATGCATATGACATAGAGTATCCAGATTTCGACATTGAAGAAGTTGGTAAAAATGTAAGGTAAATACCCCGAATAGACATCATATTTTTATAGTATGTGCTGGCTGAATGAAGACTAATAAGTGGAAAACTATATTTCTTCAAAAGGGAATGTGTGGGAGAGAAAGGGGTGGAGAGAAAGGGGTGGAAAGAGGGTCATGGAGGGATGGAAGAGGGTCATGAAGGGATGGAGGAGAAGTGAAAAGGGAGAAAGTAATATATTCTATGTACTGACGATCATACCAAAAGTTAAAATAACAACCAAACTATTTTTCCAACAAACTTTCCAAAAACTGGGATATGTGCTACAAGCACACCACTTCAGATAGAACCACTCACCCTCAAATGCAGCTACTTTTCTATAAATGTAACGACTTCCCCTTTATATACAGCCACAACTTTTCAGATACTGCCATTACCCCTTCAGATAAACCCACTTCACCGTTAGATACAGCCACTCCCCCTAAGAAACAATGAATCCCCTTCAGATTCTGCCACTTTCCCTTCAGCTACTGCCACTACCCCTTCAGATAAACCCACTTCACCGTTAGACACAGCCACACCCCCTAAGATACAATGAACCCCCTTCCGGTACAGCCACTCTCCCTTCAGATACAGCCACTTCATCCATTGAAACCCCCAGAATGGTGTAAGTCGAAGCCATGTCTCTCAGAGACGTAACATTTGCACGTCATCAATTCTTAATGAATTGTATTTTAAGCGGACTCACTTTTTGAACATTTTCTATGTTTCAGAACCGCTTTGGATAGAGCAGAAAAAGCTCACGAGCGACTTAATGCAGTTTCCACTGAAGTTATAAAAGTTTTAGAAACTGTCAACCCAAAGGAAGCAAAAAGGCAAGTTTGAAAACAAATTAGTCATATTGTATCGTTCTGTTTTCCTTTGTATTTGTTTACTTGTTCTACATAAAACTGGATTTAATTTCAATGTGATAGTTTCGGATCTATATTTTCTTGCATTTATGTTTCTTTAGCGTATATTGATATGTAGTATATTTAATGGTTTGTTGTTGTAGTAAATTAAGTTTTCTGTTATTCTATTTTATCTCACGGTACGGTACGGTACGGTACGGTACGGTACGGTACGGTACGGTACGGTACGGTACGGTACGGTACGGTACGGTACGGTACGGTACAGTACGGTACGGTACGGTACGGTACGGTACGGTACGGTACGGTACGGTACGGTACGGTACGGTACGGTACGGTACGGTACGGTACGGTACAGTACGGTACGGTACGGTACGGTACGGTACGGTACGGTACGGTACGGTACGGTACGGTACGGTACGGTACGGTACGGTACGGTACGGTACAGTACGGTACGGTACGGTACGGTACGGTACGGTACGGTACGGTACGGTACGGTACGGTACGGTACGGTACGGTACGGTACGGTACGGTACAGTACGGTACGGTACGGTACGGTACGGTACGGTACGGTACGGTACGGTACGGTACGGTACGGTACGGTACGGTACGGTACGGTACGGTACAGTACGGTACGGTACGGTACGGTACGGTACGGTACGGTACGGTACGGTACGGTACGGTACGGTACGGTACGGTACGGTACGGTACGGTACAGTACGGTACGGTACGGTACGGTACGGTACGGTACGGTACGGTACGGTACGGTACGGTACGGTACGGTACGGTACGGTACGGTACGGTACAGTACGGTACGGTACGGTACGGTACGGTACGGTACGGTACGGTACGGTACGGTACGGTACGGTACGGTACGGTACGGTACGGTACGGTACAGTTAACAGTTAAATGCATTGAGAAAATGATTGTTTTGCAACTGGTAACAAATTTTTATTATCCAATAGCCGGAAAAAGAAGCTTGAAAAAGCCATCATCCAATCAAGAGATGACATCATCCAGCTCACAGAAAAACTCACAAGTGTCCAGAAAGGTGAGTTCAAATCGTTTCTTGTTCAAATTTTAATGCCAGTTGAGTGGTGAATATGCACCCATCCGCAGAGGAGGACAATATAGCCCTCGGACTAAAGGACTATTTTTCTTGGGGGAAAAGGCGTGTCAAAACCTATTACAAACTTAAAAGTCCCTTGTTTTAAATTGAAAGTATCTTTTGTTCCTAGAGTTTCCAAACAAACGTGGCTAACACTTGTAGAGGACAGGTGCTCAATTTTGCCCTTATGCAAAGCTCCTCCCCCCCCCTGATGATGTTATTGCTCCTACGGCATTGAAAGAGGAAAAACCAATCGTACCTTCAAGGCAAATTTTGCCAGAAGCCTTCTTATACATCGATATGCCCTGTCGATCTGTCTCCAGTATAACTTTCTCCACATGATCCATATCTTTGCCTTAAAGTGGGTAATTAACTTTTTATAGCCTGTGTTTGTTTACCGAAGGGTTAGGCTTTTTAGACCTGGGTGGAGCTCAGCTAAACCCATAAGCCCTGTTTAGCGAAAAATGATGTGCTTTTGTGGTTGGAAATAGGATCAAACCTGGTTGGCTGTTTAAATTCCAGTCAGTAATTAGAATAATGATACCCAGTGGTTTTTCATGTGAAAACAGGGATGGTAAGATCTCATTGCTATCTAGAATGGACACAAGTTCTTTCAGCGGTCTTTATATGAAGCGATTGGATTTCCAAGCGGATGGCAAAAAACTTTCTGAATTTACCGGTTGTTAAAAACATTTCCAAATCTTCAACCGCAGCGAATAACTTAGCCTTCCAGCCTTAAGTTCAGTTCCTTTTATTTTGAAATTCCACTACAATGCAATTCCACAAATTATACTGTAAATTAAACAACAAAAGCTTTACAAAATCAATGAAATACAATTCTACAAAACAAACTACAATACAAAATAAAGGAGGAGAGCCTTTTTTTACCCCCCCCCCCTGCTTTTAAGGTCCCTGTTAAGATCAACTAAGTAGATTAAATGTACCGTCATTTCGATACTCTTGCATAAGACGGGGTTCTATGTCGATTTAACTGGAAATTAAAGGCAAGTTACTTTACAGGAGGGTACGGGACCAAACAATGTTAAGATATTGTGACACCTTGTCACTTATTTTATTATCTTACTAATAAAACACAGACAGTCTCCAGTAGCATATCTTTCTAATTACCAACGATGCACACAAAAACTGAATGTCTCCGTTTTCCTAACAGATTCGTGATGCAGCCCTCTTGTTAACGCCCTTTTTGTTAACGCCCCATTTGTTAACGCCCTTTTTGTTAACACCTCTCCTTCTTTTAAACATCTTTTTTAGAGAGCTTAGTAATCATGATCTGCCCTTTGACGTTGAAACAGTTGAATGGTTGTTAGAATTCCACCGGCCAGGAGCATCATATTTAAGGCCTTTTGTCTGAAACTCGGCGCTTAAAATATCATATTTCGGAACGATTGTATATTTTATTCAAAAAGGCATTCTTTAATCTTTTATCATGAAGGCAAAATGTCGTGTACAAATATCTTGTTGATTTTCCACCGTGTCATCAGTCCCAGGTTCAGACTGAAGCGACCGGAAAATTTGCTCCAGTTAGCATTTCAAAATAACAGCTAACTGGATATAACGGATTTTTTCTCAGCGTTCAGTTTTCGATTTTGAGTGAACGTTAAGAATTCTAATTAATTATTTGCAGACCTCTCGGATCCCTCCTCTCATCTCTCCTTGCAACTATTCTTGCCCCCACAGAATCTCTTTGTTTACATTTGAACATCTTAATTTTGAATGCATCGACTGGAAGGAGTTATTCATAATTTTGCACCAGCTGACAAACGTTATGGTCCCATAAACCAATCAGATCACTGCACTTTGCTCCAGTTGAAGCAAATTCGCTTCGGGAAGTGCTAGATAGCCAATCCGATCGCGTAACAGCCGGAGCAAGATCCAGCCTTATGATTGGGTTGAATTCCTTAGCATGAGGAAAGTGGAGCGAGTTCGAGCAAGTAGGAGCATTGCCAATAGACAAATGATAGGTGTAATATGTTTTCATGATGAACAAAAAAACTGCAATTTGCATGTTTTCTATCTCCAGCCCGAATTACAGCATTATATTTCACATCACTTGATTTTCCAGCATAGTACTAATAACAAGGGGTCCGTCATAAGTTAGAAAATGGGGGGGGGGCAAGAGAAAATTTATCACTCATAACAAAAGAATTTGAAAAAAGCTCTACTGTTTTGAAAAAAAGTGGAGAGGGGGCATGCCCCCCTTCCACGGCCCTTCCTTTGTCGGAGGCCCTGAATAAGTTTGGTTTCGATGCCATCAGAAGATTTTCATGAATGGATTGACCTCTTTTAACTTCAGGTAGGAATTGAAAGAAGAAGTAATGAAACAAGGTCAGAGATCAGATGTCGAAAATCAAGGGTGAAAAGTCAAATTTTAAGTTGCAAATTAAGTAAAAGTGATTTTTTTGCTTTTCAGAGTTGGAGGCAAACGAAGGGAAATCATCGCAACTTTATAAGACACTGGAAGGCAAACAGATGGAAATTGAAAAGTAGGTTTCCGTTCAATTTACTCAACTTATGATTGAAAATATTTTCTAAGTAGACGCAGTGTCTTATTGTTATATATTTGACACTATCGTACTCTATCAAATTTATTGTCTTATATTTTTTGTTATATTTTGTTTGTTTTCTATCATGTTTCAGTGTATTTATGTTTGATCATATCTTATCGATCGCATTTATTGTATTTCTATAATTTTTATGCGTTATTTTGATATATTATATTATGTTTTACTTTTTGTATTTTATTTGTTTGGTCACGCATTTCAAGAAACATGTTTCATTGCTTTGTGAAACTCCCAATTCTTTTTTTGTTACATCTTGTAGTGTTCCGATGCGGATGCCTAGATATCCCTGAATCTCCTCCTAACAAAATATATGTATGATTGACCTCCCTTGAAATGCAAAAGCTGTATGCTGTGGAGCTATTTATGTTAATTATTCTATTTATGATCATTCATTCTACTTATGATCATTCTAATTATGATTTATGATAAACTATGTTGTTTTTTCTCTTTATGAAGGAGAAACGCATTGTACTTTTTATGTTTACTGACATAAATTATGCTAAATTTATTCATAAATTGTGTTGATTATTCGAATTATGACCAATCAGCAAAGGAGAACGCATTCTATATATTACAATGTTTGTCTTCATATGAAAGTTTTGGTCTATTTGATTCTTGAGGGATCCCTTCGACAGTTCAATAATCTTAATATATAGATTAATATGTAGATTGAACCACAATCGCTTATATTTGTGCTAAATCAAATTTCAGGTTAAAAGGACACGTGGAAATGGGGAAGGTTTGAAATTTTCATCATTTCTAGCTTGCCTCTTTGTTTTGAAATGGTTCTTAATGGATAACAAATCCCCTTGAACTGATTCCTGTCTTTATGGTCCAATCAAGGATTTTTGAAAAGGAAAATCTACTCTTGCCCGTCAAATTGTCTTCTATTTGCTGTCTTCAGCAAAGAAAAAACGCATTGTACTTTATATGTGTAATGATATATATTATGCTAATTTCATTTATAAATTATGTGGATTATGCTAATTATGGCCAATCAGCAAAGAAAAACGCTTTGTACGTTATAAGTGTAATGATATAAATTATGCTAATTTCATTTATAAATTATGTGGATTATGCTAATTATGGCCAATCAGCAAAGAAAAACGCTTTGTACGTTATAAGTGTAATGATATAAATTATGCTAATTTCATTTATAAATTATGTGGATTATGCTAATTATGGCCAATCAGCAAAGAAAAACGCTTTGTACGTTATAAGTGTAATGATATAAATTATGCTAATTTCATTTATAAATTATGTGGATTATGCTAATTATGGCCAATCAGCAAAGAAAAACGCTTTGTACGTTATAAGTGTAATGATATAAATTATGCTAATTTCATTTATAAATTATGTGGATTATGCTAATTATGGCCAATCAGCAAAGAAAAACGCTTTGTACGTTATAAGTGTAATGATATAAATTATGCTAATTTCATTTATAAATTATGTGGATTATGCTAATTATGGCCAATCAGCAAAGAAAAACGCTTTGTACGTTATAAGTGTAATGATATAAATTATGCTAATTTCATTTATAAATTATGTGGATTATGCTAATTATGGCCAATCAGCAAAGAAAAACGCTTTGTACGTTATAAGTGTAATGATATAAATTATGCTAATTTCATTTATAAATTATGTGGATTATGCTAATTATGGCCAATCAGCAAAGAAAAACGCTTTGTACGTTATAAGTGTAATGATATAAATTATGCTAATTTCATTTATAAATTATGTGGATTATGCTAATTATGGCCAATCAGCAAAGAAAAACGCTTTGTACGTTATAAGTGTAATGATATAAATTATGCTAATTTCATTTATAAATTATGTTGATTATGCTAATTATGATCATACAGCGGATTAAAATGTATTTTAACAGCCTTTTTCAATGTACTGTATAATTATAATAGGAACACAGGCAGTGCAAGAACAGAATAAATGGGTGACACGATAAGGACAGGGTGTGTATGAGAAACAAAACCCCTGGTTGATTGGAAATCGTGTTTTTCTTTATATATCAAATTAGCTTTACATCCTTCATTTTTTGAGCATTTGAAATTTTATTGCAGAGAAAAGCCCAAGAACTCGATGAACTAAAATCTGAAGCTGAGCAGAAAAATGCCACCATTCTAAAGATGCGGCAAGTATGTTGCATTGACTCTACTAGATCTCTTTTTGACACATGACATTTTGCACCTAGAGCCACCGAATGAAAAACAGGCTAACGGTTGAGAATTAATTAAATGAAATGAATGCACAGCATGAAAAACAGGCACTTCAAAAGCAGGGAGATTTTGTAAATACGGTTTTATAGTTTGATTCAACTACAATTTTTTCAATTTCTATCGTCGTTCCACCTAGCAGTTTTGGAATCTATCTACATAAGCACGAAAAAACCGCTACTGTGTAGACAAAAGGAGTTCGTTTTCACCTTAGGACTCCACTGGTAACATTCTAATAGGCAAGCGGCACTGATTGGTCAACCTTTACAGTCATGTGCTCGTGTTTCTGATTGGCCTATTTCGATCCACAACTGGGTATATACATTTCTTAGCGTAGAGTTTTCGATCTATGTTCTGACGTTTTAAACTCTGAAGAGTGTCAGACGAAAAGCTTTAGTTTACTAAATGTTTGCTTTTTTCAAAGCCATTTCAATTTCTTTCCTTAGATTATAATCAATGTTTTTATCCCTTGAAAACCAGTTTCTGTTGAAGCGCAACCTTCCTTGAACGAATTAAATATAAATTATGAAATATGATCCACCAACTGCCAATTGTAGTGCAATTTTGTTTTCTCCAGGAAATGGATAAATTGAAGCTACTGCTCGCCCACGCAGAGGACAAACACGAGCATGTGTCGAACAAGCAAAAGGAGTCTCGAGAAAAACAACAGGTATAACAACATCGGTTTGCTCGAATAAAACATCCCTTTGATCGACCTCTACGATCCCTTCCACAGACCTTTAGAGTCTGTGTTCTTAATGCGTCGCTGACCGTTTTCTTCGTAAATTTTTTATTCGCATTGGCGAAAAGAGAAAGCATCGCACTAGGCCCTAACCTCGCATTCGCGTTAAACATTTCGCATAAATTATATTCCAGCTTCCCATAATTTAATTTATGCAGAGATCACATGTTCACAGATCTTATTCTCCTTCAGAGTCTGGTCTGCGACGCAGGCTACGACCTTAAAGGCTCCTGCGCAACCAGCATGCTTTGCGGTAGCAGTTTTTTTACGCGGGAGAAATGGACTGTATTTGGTTATTTCTTGCAGGACGATATTCGGACGGTTTTGAAAACATTGTTACAAATCAGGCCGGCTGCGCAATGGCCTTTAACCCATTATCCATCTTGCACCTTATAAAAGTTTTTAATCTGTAAATATATTTCTTTGTAGAGAATGCAATCCGACCTTGAAGAAAGAGTTAAAGAACAGCAGCAAAAAGTTGCGGAGATACGAAAAGGTAACTTCTCAGTACTTATTGTTTATGCAACAATTATCGAATACTTGTTAACTAACAGAAAGGGTTTTACAGGGTCTCCGATGCTAGGGGGCCAGGGTGCCCGTAGCCCCCATTTTTGAAAAAAAAGCTTTTTTGCAAAATATTTTGTGATGAGTCTTAAAGACTCATTGCTAACAATGACCATTGCGCCACGCAAGCATCCCATCATGCATATTTAGACAGTCTGAAATCAATTTTAGTTAATCCGTAGAGGTTTACTGCCATTGTTTGGATTGTTACCCTCGCAAGGCTCATTGTTAGCAATGAGTCTTAAAGGCATTGAGTCGTGATAAAATGGATTGGGTATGCCCTAAATGCCAAAATCCGCTGAGTCACGATTCTCATGACTGCGATGCTATTGGTCGACCTTAAACTGGTCACATGAACTCAAAGCGTACTGATTAACAAAACAGTTGCCATGATTAGCAAGTTGTCAACATCGGATGCAAATATCACATGAAACAGCAGCGATCACGCCGAAACCAAATGACCCCCTATAGAGAAGGCCTATTTACCACGACTCAATGCCTTTAAATTTGTCTCTGTTCCCTAAATGCTACCTGGATCCTGGAGGTTACTTGGAATTAATAATCAGAGGGTTCAACATTACCAATTGTTTGACGTGCATTGAAAGTTACAAAATTCGCCGTGCATTCAATGGAAAATTACTAAATTTCTGCATATGTACCAACTATTGGAACGAAAAATGTATGTTAATTTGGTCTAGGCTAAGGAAATGAAGCTTCATTAAATCATGGCGAAGATATTCCGTTTCTCTTGGTGAATTTAGATGGAATTAGACACTCTATTACAAAATTACTACTCCAAATTTGTCCTGCAAACTTTAATAATGCTTTCCGCTCATAATTTACATCAGTAAGGGAAGATTTTTAGTGTCATTTCGGCCAATTTTTATAAACAGCTCCCTGCGAGTTGTAGTATCCTAGCCGTGTTGTGCAGACGATTTTCAGGACTTGAAACAACATGTTTCCTAGAAATATAGTCAAATGCCTCGACGCATTCTGGTAATGCCTCGAGCATGAATATTTCAGAGCCTAAGTAAGATGAAAGTTATTGGGAAGGCTGACAAGGGGCCTAGGGGCAATTTCTTAAAATATTTGTTTGCAAGCCAGTCCTTTTAAGATAGGCTTAGGACATATTTCTTACATGGTAGTATCGCATTGGTGTCTAATCAGAAAATGTACACAAGGACAATTTGAAAATATACACTTTCCTCCTTAGTTGTTTTGGACCTGATCCTGATGTGTAATCCAAAAAATTATCCCTTTCCTCATTTAAAGGCAATCTGTCACGACATTGATTGGTTATAAGAACAAAGCGATTTCTATTGTTTGTCCAGTCCCTCTTTAATTTATCGCATTGTAAAAAATATGGCGGAGCGCTGGAATCGTGTTTAGGCTATTGTTCCAGCTATTGTTCTCGTTAACCAATCACAACGAGACAGATTGCCTTTAAACTTGAGAGCGTATGTACTTTCACAAACTGTTTAGGATTTTAGATGACATATTGACATGAATTTATAAGAAAGTCATCCCAGGGGTGATGGCTTTTGCTGCCCCCTAGGTTACAAGATCATTTCCACCCTAGATTACAAAGTCATGTCATAGATTTGTTTGAGTTCCATCTTTGTTGTTTGGGATAAAACCAGAATATGTTTCTGGCCCTTGGAAAAGTTTTCTGGCAATAACGTCCACATGTCCACATTTTCGTAATCCTTTTCCTGTATACCGGACTGAATGCACATGATATGACCGGATTTATAAGCGAGTTTCCGACCAGGAATGTCCATTCCCAGCACAGTAGCCTATCGAGGACCGGACTTTTGACTCCATTTAACCTCAACAAAGCCCGGATCACTGATGGCAAGTAACAGAGAAACATCGAAATTACAATAAGGCCTCCTAAGGTTACAAGTTTCCGGTCGCCTCGGCTAAGTGCTGTATGCCCGAATCTTGCTGCCACAGCATGTATCCGGCGTCGTGTGGACCACGCAATCTTCAGTATACTTCCATAGCTGAACAGAACAGTAATCGCTCCGATTGCTATACTGCCAAACATCGATACATACACAACGATCATATTTTCCGTTAGCTGGTATGAAATCAGGACCAGAATAGGAAGAAACCAGGCTGTGAAAATAAGAATCCGGGTTTTCAGAGTATTGAATTTGGTAAAGTATGTATATGGATAGCAGACTTTTGTGTACCGTTCTAGAGATACCGTTGTTATTGTTAGAAATGAAGTCGAACCGAGAATAAATGCTACTGAAAATGTAAAATCCGTTATTGTACAATATTGATCCGGACCAATCATTCCACCAAAAACTAAAAAAAGTCCAGGCATGACTATAACGCCTGTTCCGACATCGGTAATTGCAAGATTTAGTAACAGTTTCTGACATGGGCTGGTCCGGTCTGTTGTTGTCAATATGGCGATGATTAAGGAAGTATTTATGGCTGTTGTTGGTAGTGCAAGAATCATACTTACAGTGGCACATATTTTCCAATCCTTGATCTCAGTGGTTGAATTATTGATTAACTCGTTATAATAATAACACGAGAGCTCCATACGTCGTTTCCGGCATCTGAAGTAGCTCTGTATCCTAACTTGGTCCTTTTCACTTAACCACGGATAATTTTCTTATTTCAATTCAATTCTAAAGGGCCCTTTCCGAACTCTTTGGCACAAGCAGTAACTCTGTACCGAAAGCCGGTCTTATCACTCAACCACAAGCTATGTTATTACTTACAAAGAACCGACCGTCATTCTGATGGAGTTAATACTGCGCAAAACAAGATGTGGCAAGTTACCTGGCAAGCTCCGTATTGAAAACATGTAAAATGGCTTGAGTCGCGAGTTCTTGTATTAACTTGTCCGCTTTTTTCCAGGCCTTCTTTTCTCTATCTAGCGAGAACGTAAGCGCCAGTGTCTACAAGTAGCTGTTTCGAATTCAAGGCCAAGTTCTACGCTCCGTCTATCATCAAATACTTCTCTATTGTACTAGCAGAGGTAATTTGTACTCCAAAGCATAGGACGCATTGTCTATCATTTAATTAGAATCTTGCCTCTCAGTCTAAATATTGCCAAGTTTCTCTTCAAATAATTTCCTCTCCATGTAGAAAATTTGCCATTGTATTCTTGTATTGTGTTTATCTCCGTTTGCTTGAGGTATTTCAATTTTTCATACAACTGTCTTTGACCTCTGTTTAACTGCACTCACCACAGTACATAGTCAAAACGAATGCAATGACCCAAGCTCCTATTGGCTAATATGTGTTAATCTACGTTACCAGTCTCACAAAATATCACCAAACAACGAAAACATGGCCTGATAGCATGGACTTAACAGCTGCATGCAGACTTTGCGTATCTGTACAAGATCACAATAAAGTATCAACTGCGACAAGTATATCTTTAGCGGTCTTTTCTACGCATTGAATGACACAGTTTTTTGGAGAATATAACAAAGAACCCGTGTAAAATTTTGAGAAGATAGCCAACGAGCAATCAACACCATCAATAAGTCTGTACAATAACGTTGATCTGAATCAATATGACAATGTCCGTGTTTTCTGATTCAGCGACATACCTTTCTCAAATATGACAGTGAAGACATTAACATTGCAAGAAGTTTCTAATGCTGACAAAACGACGAAACAGCAAAAGGCATCGTGATTTCGTCATAGAATTGATGAACTTCAATTTACTGCGGCTGTGTGCTTCGATTGTTGAATAGATTACTGAAATTTCCAGATAATTTGCTGAATCTTTCAGAGGAATCGCTGCAACTGATAGATTTTCCAGAAACGACTAATCGCCGCTTACGATAACTCATTGAAGTGAAACTCTCAGATATATTGCTGGAACTTGATGACGCGCTCAAATAAACTCTGCGAGAAACTGCAGATGGCATGAAGCTCTATTTAATTTCTCTAGCCGCAACATACCTGTAACAGATACATCAAAATTTACTTGTATAGTTCTTTTGTCCGATTTCTTTCCCACTGCATCGTTAGCAAACGTCTTTTCGTTACACGATACCTGAGTTTCCGCTGTCTCTCTCCTCAATTCTTAAGCATGTAAACAGTAACAAATGTTAGTTACGTTGTGTCAAGATCTTGCCAAAGTTTGTCAATGTTAGCCTCAAACAAGAGGAAAAAACGCAGAGAATCTTTTTAAACAAAACGGTGTGACAATGGTAAACAAAATTTCAAGTAAATTTCGTCGTTAAAACCAAAGTAAACATCCGTACTGGTTTTGTGAAACTTCTGAAAGCAGCTGATAATTCTCAATCATAACGAAAATATATCACAAAGCTTTTTGTTGCTAAGGGGGGACTATCACGCAATGAGCATGCGCAGAAGAGAGTGCCATCAATGCGCATGCTTGCTGATATTAAAGGCGGGGAATGACTCATTCGACAGAAGTTTACGGAATTGTCTAGTTTCCATACTGCTCGAACTGATAGTCATAAATAAGCATGATTAATTATTTCAAGTAAAGGGTTAGGGTTAGGTTTAGGGTTAGGTTTAGGGTTAGGTTTAGGTTTAGGGTAAACTAATTACGTCATCAGGTCGAGCAGTATGGAAACTAGACAGCTCCGAAGTTTACAGTCAGTCACCGGAAAGTTTTTTAATTCTGTTGTCTTATTGTTGGCAAGATCTTTTTTTCCTAGAATGCTTGATTATAAATGTATCTTTGAAATCTTATATAGATTATTGGGATTTGTAGATAAATATTATGAAATGAATATAATTAAAAAAGCATATCTAAATACATATTCGGCGCCAACTACAATTGAAACTTGGTTTTCCAGGACAAATGTGAAATGATATTCGCTTCCTCCTGAAACGTCACACAATTTCTACAATTTTAGCAACAAATTGAGGCTGCATGTTGTCCGGAGAACGGGGGTTGTCTCATACAGGAAAAGACTACGGCCTCTTCCTCCCAACCCCCCCCACCCCCAAAACCCCCCCCCTCCCCCCCTCCCCCCCCCCCCCCTCCCAGAAATTCTTGTTGTTGTGATGAATAGATGTGTCAGTTTCTGGTGTATATATATTGAAGACAGTAAAGAAAATGATATGATAGTGACTCCTACATAGTGCTGTTTAAAGCTTTTCTGGGGCCTGGGGCAAAAGGACAGTTAGGCCCGTGATGACGTCATTGAAACTGTGATTGTTATTATTAATTTTTTTGTTATGAACCCAGCTAGAACTTTTCAGAGGCCCTCTTAGCTCGGAGCTCGGGTCTATTTTTCTCCTGCCCCTTCTCGACGGGTCTTGCTCCGTATCCAAGGCAGACATAATTTAGGGGAAGGCCAGACTATGTTACCAACCTTTTTTCCTTTCTTCTTTCTTTCTTTCTTTCTTTCTTTCTTTCTTTCTTTCTTTCTTTCTTTCTTTCTTTCTTTCTTTCGTTCTTTCTTTCGTTCTTTCTTTCTTTCTTTCTTTCGTTCTTTCTTTCTTTATTTCTTTCTTCCTTTCTTTCTTCCTTTCTTTCTTTCTTTCTTTCTATCTTTCTTTCTTACTTACTTTTTTATAACCCTGCTATTCTTTAAACAACTATTGCTGAACCAATTTTCATGGTCATCGACAGTGTAAAGTTTTGCATCCCTAATTTTTCGTGAGAAAATATCGTGGTTACTTAGTTCTTTTCCCTCCTTCTTTTCTTGACCCTATCCCCATATATCATGAACCTAGGAGTAGTTACTCTGTCTGGTTGAAAGCAATCGAAAGATTCTTTAGGCATTCGACACAGGTAAAAATGGCTTACAGCCACTCGACCACGATCCGCTGACCAATCAAATTTCGCACAGAGAAAAACACGTGAACAGTTTCTGCCTTTCTGCAAATCGGCGAAACCCTAGAGTGGTTTCACGTGAGCAGTTTCAAATTCCTTTCAAACGCGCGTGCTCTGATCGAACTATTTTTGGATTGGCTGTGCTTATGCATGTCAATGCCTTTAAGGGGCTTATGTCATCCTTCAATCAAAAATTGACCAATCAGTGAGCGTGATTCTATTCTACGCTCATTGATTGGCTAATGTTGATTGACAGATGCCATAAGCCACTTTTATATCTTTTCATTGCTTTAACAAGTCAACGAAATCTTGCTGAGGATTAGCCGCCCGTTTACAGTCAAGGAGGCACTATTTTAGTGGAAATGGGTCAAAAACGTCCTGCAAAATGTATTTCCGTAAAAATTATCTTCTTTTAGGTACTTGGGGGAAGAGGAATCAAACTCTCCTCGTTTCGATTCAAAAGACACTTTAAAGTTAAAGTCAAGCAGTTATTTTTATATGCTGAAAATTACTCTTCTAATCTTATTTATTCTTATTCATTAAAATTCATATTTTATAGTATTTATAATCAATCTTTTTTTGTGATTCGGCGGTTGGTTTGGTAATGTGTGGGTGGTTGGGGCTGGGTTTGAGTGAAAGGGGCTGGGGGTAGACTGTTTGTCCCACACCTGAATACAAACGTGATAAGTTTTAATGTTATAATGGCTGTTTTAGATATATGTAAAATTGCGTTACCAATTTCATTTTCATTAAGCCATTATTTCATATACCTTGTCCTTTTTATTTGTCACCAACAACTAAGTGGTGCTTAACTTTCTGATATCCGTTTGTGCCCTGTCAGAGCGTCGTTTATATCTTTAAAACGAACGAGAGCTTTATCGTTGATAGCTTTTTAAATACCTTAAAAATTCTGTTAACAATCTCATCTTTGTCTTATTTCTATTTTCAGCTATGGAGACACAGCATGACCAAGAATTAAAAGATTTGAGGACGAATTACCAAACTGAGATGTCTGAAATAAAATCGAAGTATGAACAGGAAATATTCACGCTTAAGGAAAGCGTTGCATTGGTATGTATAAACATTGCATCTTGGCAACATTGCCACAAAGTCTGACTTCTGTTTCTTTGTCACCCTGATATTTGACCCCAAATGACGTCATCTGTTGATCTTTGACCCTTAGCAATATTTAGACTCTTTGCTACTATTTTTTAGACTGAAAAGCAACGAGATGACGCTGAGAAAGAGCGAGCAGAACTGCAAAGATTCACGACATCATTTTTTAACGAAGACACAGAGAAGAGTCGATCTGCTTCCAAACTTTCTTGGAAATCTTCTGCCAAAGCACTGCGACTTACAACTGCAAAGAAGGTATGTGTATTTCATTGATAACGACTGAAGGTTCAAGGTCGTAAACCAGGTCTTAGGTCAAAGGTTAAAAGTCAAATACCACTGCAGTGCAATGCAGTGCAGTGCTAGGGGGCTCAGGGGGTTGAGCTCCCATTTTTAATGCCGAAAATTGGCAGATTTCTACTTTTGCTATTGTTTTTCGCAAAAGATTTTGAGCAAGAGTCCCCTTTGTTATTTTGATACTACAACAACGCTGCTTGTAAGTGCCATTCATCGTGGGAACTCGATGATCATGTGTCCATTCTCGCCGTGAATGGCCAACTTGAATTTTGTTGTGCTTAGTTTGTCTGTTAAATGTTTCATTGCGTATTTTTTAAAAGTTTATTAAAGATAAGATCCTTAGACTTTCCCATAAGAAAATTGATAAAGTTCCGCTATAGCGATTTATCAATCTGAGCCTCGTTTCCATATGACATTAATACGAGACCATATAAAAATTTGGGAACGGTGTATGGTGTATTTTTAAAAGTGAGATCACAAGTTTACGTTGCTTTATATGGCAAAGCTTTTTATCCTCATAGAGCCAAACACTGGGAACAGATTCACTGCCATCTACTCCTAAGAAGGCGCTACAAACTGACGGTTCCATCGCCTCTTTGAAATCAAAGACGGCTTCAGATCTGAAAACAGATGCCAGCCAACTTGATCGATCAAACACGGAAGCAAGCTACACTGGCAAATTTCCCGGAACTCCAGCAGCTGCAACTCCTGCTACCCCTGCGGCGCAGAAGCAGCCGGATAATGAGCATCGCAAGGTCTCATTCACAGGCTCCTCCGTAAGCGGGACACCAGGTTTGCCATCAAGCCCGGAAAAGTCTATGGGATCACGTGGGAGACGCCGCACAGGGAAACTAGTGCAGTCAAGGAGCAATCTTTCGCGCACGTCATCGAAGCCATTATTGTCGACCCAAGAAGAGGCTGCTGCAGCTGGTTTAGTTGAAATGATTGACGAAGCTATCCAAACCGAGGTTACTGTGCCGGAAAAGAAGGAACTCGATTCGGATATGGAAACTGCTATAAGGAGGCTATCGCTGAATTTGATTCCTGAAGATGCCATCAAAGATATTGACTCAACGGATTTTACTACAAACTGGGTGAGTGCTAAGATTCTTTAAGTGACGTCATGATAATGATGACGTCATTTTAGTGCTCTTGAAACTGCTATAGCCATCTTCAGCACTTCGCAATGCCTTGAAAAAACTCATTCAAATCTTTGGGCCTCTCACAAAATGGTCATTGGGAAACCAATTTCCTTCTTGTCCTTTACTCTGTTCAATATGTCTTTTAAAATATTCATAGTCAAATCTTGACCCCCCCCCCCTGGTACCCTAAGTTCCTTTGAATTAAAGAAGAATTGATTTCCTCAATCAATGTCTTTTAAAAGTTTCATTGTCAAATCTTGACCCCAACCCCCCCCCCCCCCCCTGTACCCCAAGTTCCTTTGAATTAAAAAAGAATCGATGTCCTCAGGCAATGTCTTTTGAAAGTTTCATTGTCAAATCTTGACCTCCTGTTTCCCGAAGTTCCCCTCCTTTCACTGTGTTTGGCCTTAAATAGATTATTCAACTCATTCAATCGCTTATTCAAAAGCAAATCTTGAAATTTCAGGAGGACTTTCCCATTCAAGAAATCCCGGCAAGATTTGCTCATTACAGAAAGTTGGTAAGTTTATTCAATGGTAACATTTTTACTGTTATGTAAAACCAGCGAATTTAAATGGTTTAATCTTTTCGTTGATGACCGACCACATGACCGAAGCTAAATACTTGTAACTTAGACACTGTTAGCCAAATACCTCCTGAAATCAAATTAGAACCTCATAAAACTAACGGAAACCTCAAAATGTTACAAGAAACCATCTAAAACCATCTGATATTACCTGAAACTGCCTAGTAACACCTAAAACCTCGAGAAACTACCGGAAACCTCGAGAATCTACCTGAAACCTCGAGAAAAAACCTGAGACCTCGAGAAACTACCTGAGACCTCGAGAAATTACCTGAAACCTCGAGAATCTATTCGAAATCATCTTTTGTCACCTATGACCATCTAGATTCTAGAACCACCTAAAGCCAACTTAACTACCTGAAACCAACTTAAACTACTTGAAACCAACTGGAGCCACCTCATCTCACCTAGAACCAATTTAAACCAGCCAAAACTAACTGAAAATATTATTAAAAAAATAGAGGTTCTCATATTTATCTTTTGGAAATTATTATATCTTTAAAGATTTGTGGGAAGGCACTAGCCTCCCCAACGCTATCCCCCCTTGTCTATAATATCTTATTGTTGAAATAAACTCCTAAAACAATACAGCGCAGGAAATATAAATGGAATGGCTAAACCCTTTTCCAAATTGGAAAATTGAACTCGCTAGAGGGGATGCAGGATCCTGATATTGTCTGGCCAGGATCGCAGATGCTCGCAGTCTCGTTTTAAGTTTTTTAGCTTTGGGAGGAATTCAGAATATTGTTATACTTATTTGGTGATCATTCAAGGTACTAAATTGTCCCGTGTATCAAACGATTTCATGTTTTATTCTATTGTCAACAGGCCCAGAAGAAAGAAGAGGAGATGTTAAACGAGCTGACAGAACTGCGACAAAAGGTAAAAAAGATTTTTCTACCAATGTTAGCTAAAAAAAGATTAATTTGAAGTGTTAGAAAGGTGAAATCTGTGTACAATTCTTATCTTGGGAAAGTGCCATTTAGAGAGGAAAATTGTCCTGGGCCAACAGCGTGATGAGACAAAGTAGCCGGCCTTTTCCTCGTTGTCAATAAACTCTCTTGTACGAGCCAAACGTAGGAGAAGTGTCTGTTGGAGAGGGAACTTGTTTTTGGCAACACCTTGATGGGGTAAAGTGGCCAGTTTCTTTCCTGGCTTCCTTTAGTTTCTTGTTTCTACGGCAAATGACTTTGAGAGAGGATACTAGTTCAGAGCTAAGTGCAAAATGCGGTAGGGAAAGTGTCTGCTAGAAATGCCACTTGTGGGTGAACAGCATGGCTAGGTAGGGTGGGTAGTTCCTTTCTGCTTTTAGAATCTCTTACACTATATGAAAAAAACGAAGATGCCCCTTCGAAGTGACAATTTTCTTTGGCCAACTGTATGGCTAAGTAGTATTTTACTCTTAAATGCACTTCCCCTATGTAAAAACTGTGGAAAAAATCTTTTTTGTATTTAAAATTTAAATATTGCGTTGAAAAAGCCAACATTTGAAACATACTAAAGCTTTTCGTCTGAAACTCTTCAGAGTATAAAACGTCAGAACATAGATCGAAAACTATACGCTAAGAAATATTTATTCCCAGCTGTGGTTTTAAGTTAGATTCCAAAAGTCAGTATAGCGATCTATCTAAAAAGTATTTGGTTTATTTTTTCGCAGCATAACAATAAAGTTCAAGCACTGAAAGGGATGATGGATCTAAGAAACAATTGGACCACGGTATGCCTTTCATTTGTCTTTCATCATAATGTTTCTATCATTCGCCGATGATTGTATTTCTATGCTCCCATGCTTTATTGCCAAGGAAATCACATCAGATAGTGAAAACATTGCTAAACATCTTGCCAAGAAGGAAGATAGATTAACAAGAATAATGGAAGCTTTATCAGTACAGGATCCTCACTTTAGGGGCCATGAGGGGTGTGACACTCCCTTTGAAAAGAATCCGTTACAAAAACGAGGATATTTTGCTATCTAGGGGTACGTGGTCACCAAATTTCAACCTTGTCAGCAAATAGAGGATGGCTCACTCACTTTGTTAGCAAATGGGACCTGGACACCCCCCCCCCTCACCCCTTCGGCACAATAACTAGTGACGCCCTGAATCAGTATCCTACAAATCTATCAGGTGTTTCTCGTATGGATGGTCAAATGCAGGGCCTAACTGTATTGCAAAATTGTTTTCATTGCTATTTCCATGGATACTGTTTAGAACCAGATATTTAATTATATAACGAGATAATGAAACTGTTTTATGTGTCCTAAAAGTTAAGCATATTTATAAACTACCCTGTTTTCATAGGAACGAGAAGAACTTGTAAGACAGCTAGAGACTGGCAAAGCAATGAAAGAAGAGGCTGAAAACGAGGTAGGCTAAATTTCAAGATCATTGTTCAAGAATATTTTCATTTTTTCTGATGTCAAAATTCTCTTGATATTTTGTGTAAAAGCTCTTTTGTAAATGGTTACTAGTTCATATTTTTTAAAACCTTTTTGGTTATCAACCCTGAAATAAAATTTTCAGACATAGCCCAGATTAAAATTCTTAAGAATGGCTACAGCTGACCAGAATTTTGGCGTGGTAGGGTGTGGAAATGACGTCAAAGCTACTTCGGAGAGGTAAGCAAGTGCCGCATTATTCCAGGCTCGTGTCAGGCGAACATCCCAAGTAAAAAATTTGGGGATAACGAGAAAGTTATTTTGATATGGTGGGGTTGAGTTGCCTGAAGGGGCATTGAGGGACCGATTACAATTGTGCCATTTTGTACCAAATAGTTAAAAGTATTGTTGAAAGGAAGTAATCTTTTTTTTAATTTGTCGTTTTAGGCTGAACTAGCTATGCTGCAGTTGGTAAGTTTGTAATAGCGTCACCTTTATTATATTCTCAATTTTCTTTAATTTTCCTTTTGAATTTGATTATTGTATTCAGATATCAAGCATTTTTAGTTGCACTTTTGATTTAGTCTTAGTGCCTAAATCAAAATAATATTGAGTGCCTAAGCTATTAAAATGGGGTTTAAAAGAAGTAGGGGATGTTGAAAACTAAGTGCCTTTTATTTACCGTAATGCCTCGAACAAGCGCCCCCTTGAATAAGATCCCCCTTCGAATAGGCGCCCACCCTTCGAATAAGCGCCCACCCTTCAACCTTCAGAAACGGCGCTTATTCGAATTTTCAACGAAACCATAATTGGAAGGCAATTCAACAAGAAATATTAATGAACAACACAATTTGCAAATCTACTTTTTAAATAAGCGCCTCCCTCGAATAAGCGCCCACCCTGGAGCCTCAAAAATTAAGTAAGCGCCCGGGTGCTTATTCGAGGCATTACGATATCTAAGTATCATCTTGTACTTGTGACGTTGCTCAAAAATTAAGATCCCAAAGTATGTGATATTTTTGAAAAGGACAGCTGTTAAAGGGAATCAACTTGTAAATTGTAAACTATTCTTTTCTTCTTCAAAATACATATTGACCTTTGCAAACCACTCTTGGTAATACAAAAATTAAAAGTGGCTTTGAAAAAAACAAGCATTTTTAAACATACATTTTCATTTGTGATTTCAGGAAGAGATGTTGGTTGAAAAAGAGGAGCTTGTAAGTAAAGAATTCGATATATTTGCTGTTATTTCATCATGTAAATTGATGTGTAGAGCAGGCATGTTCTAGGTTGGTATCTCTATTTCACGGTCAGCACAATTACACAACACTCTTAATCGTTATCTTGTCAATGTTTATCTTGTGAATGTTTATCTTATAATGATCATTTAGTATTTCATTTTATTACTTATTTATACTTACAGTTATCACTCTGTATTTATATAATTATATTTATACCTCAGTTTGGTAATTAGCTTTTGAAAGAAAAACATTCCTATGTCTCTAAAAGCCATGCATCTATGACCTTCATCTGACATGCTGACTTTCGCTCATCTCTAATCTCGGGTAGAATTATTGAAAAAAAGTGCAATGTTAAGAGATTCTGAATTTGCACCTACCCTGAATCAGAAATAGATACCCTTTTCTCCAAAATCAGTGCTGATTTGGAGTAACATCAAGTAGAAATCGATTATAGAAGTACAGCTGGGGATGCTTTTCAACTTTTGCGACAAATACAACGACCAAATTTGAATCTAACAATGACACAACGATTGAACGAATCACTTTAAATACGTCATTCTTACTGACATGGCCACGTTGGTGACAATTGACAAATTCAATTATAAATTGACTCATAAATGTGAAGAAATAAAAATTAGAGGAGCCTAGGCGAACTCCGATTTGAGTTCTTCGAGACTCCTCATAGCATCGAGGTCACTGTGCTCTCTCCTACCCCTTCCCTGTCGTGCAGGTCTCAGTAACTAAGGTTGCCTTTGAGCTTTAGTGGCAGCTTTAGTACCTGTGTTTTTCTTAGAATCTATCTCCAATTAGAATGAATTAACCTGTGCTACCACAGTAAACCTCGATGCCAAGAGGAGGTGAGAGAGCATTGTGTTGTTTATCATGCTGCTTATGAATTATTGCTATGTTTTATCGACAGAGAGAAGAAATCGAGAGGAAAACGCAGGCATTGGTGGAGCTGCAGATTAGAGCCAGTAGCCCAATTGAGAAGGCGCCTTCGTTGCATGTATGAACAACCACTTACGCCTTTTGTTGCACTCTACATATACCGTATTTCCTCTAATTAACGCCGCCCTCTGATAAACGCAGCCCTCTTTTAAACGCCGCACCTTCAGCCACCATTAGTAATAAATGCCCCCTCTGATAAACGCCGACCTCTTTCAAATGCCGCATCCAAAATTTGAGATTTCGTAATAAACGCCGCGGCGCTTTTTAGAGGAAATATGGTACTAAGAAATTTTTTACATTTATAGCTGTGTTCTCATCTATATCTTACGTTGTCTTAGCTGAAATTTTCTTTTCATATTAATTCAAAACAAAGTTTATAAAAGAATAATTTACCTTTATGATAACACATATCGCATCTAGACAGGATCTACATTTATGTAACGTAGTGAAAAAAAATAGAAACAGATTTAGTAGACATTTAACGAGCAATATATTAATGAGACATTCACCATCATCAGGTACCATTTTCTATCAGAAGGTTGGCTACCATGACCCTCCAACTATCCAAAAATCTGAGTTTTGGTTTGTTGTCAGGGTCATGGTAAAACAGGCACCGCAGAGCAGGGGGGCTGGGGGGGGCTTTAGCAAAAAATGCCAAATATTAAGTATCAAACTACCAGAAAAGCCTCTTTTTATACGGTTTTAGCCCCCCCCCCCTTCCCCAATTTTTTTAGACCCCCCACTTGTCTCAACTGTAAAACTGAGATTGAGAATGAGACATTGCGGAAGTATTTAATGCTCTTCCTGTTATTTTTCTAGGAAATAGGGGTTGGAACTGAACAGTTTGATGAAAGGCCGAGTGACAATGAAAGCCAAATGACTACCCGGCCTATGACTGTACCCACCATCATACAATCGGATGATTTCACATCTGAGGTAAATATTGTACAGTCTTCACGTGACCTGTTATTCTTTTTGAGTCTGGGCTAGGCAGAATATTGACCGTATAACTTGGTTCCTTAAGCCCAATCTCCAGTGAGAAAAAGTCTTGCTTTCAAAATTTCGCTGCTAAATACTTCACGCGACAAATAACTTTGAATGCTTTTGTTGACCTCACGACATTGGAATGTAAAGTTTGGAAGCGTGACAAAGGAATACGGAATATGATTGGCTGTTGAAGGATTTCGCAAGCGAAAAGCGAAAAAAGTTGAACTAATTTTAACTTTTTTCCGCAGAGAAATTCTTCGCGTGAAATCCCAGCAAAAGATCACTGCGCAGGCCTAAGACGTATTTCGCGCGAACTTTTTCGCATTTCGCTGTGTTTTTTTTCTCACTGGAGATTGGGCTTTAGGCAGACCTTCCTTTCAGGGATTTAGGAATGTGTCAATTCAAGGTCTGCAAGCTTTGCCAAAAATTCTTTGAACAGCACCACGATATTTGAGTTAAAAGTATGAGATAACCCTAGGATTTATCTCCTTATGTTATCAAAGCTGTCGTTATTTGAAACAAGGCGAATGGATCGTTTTATTATTCGATAAACTAGATGTTTTGAATGATAAATCCAGCGTTTGACATTACGGGTAATATTGGATAAGCAATCTTTAAAGTGTTAAAATGCTTTTAACAAGAGCGATTTGCTTTTAATTCCATTCTACTTTAAAATTTGGGCTTTGTGATAGACTGACATGCGCACTATCAACTGAAAACCCGAGTAAATTTTCCGCAATCTCGCATTTTGGTATATTTTTGCCGATGAGTAGTAGTACGGGTAATGGCATATGATATGGACATATAACATTTAAGGGTTAAATGTCAACTTTCCTTCCAAAGAATCGATAACATACGCAGGTGCAGTCTACCTGAAGTTTGGTAACTTTTGCTACATCTTTGATTATGGCAAATTTTGACTATTGCCTCATAAACATTTGTACGATAAATATTAGATTCAAAGTGGCAACATTTGATTCCTGCACAGGTCATCCACGAAGGAGAAGCCGAGGTCACCCCTGGTACTTTGACCCATGATACTTTGACCCATGAACTTCCAGAGCGTATAATGAGTGCTAGAGCAAGAACGAGGCTGGTAAACTCTGCATTGAGCAGGCACCCTGTGGCAAGAGAAATATCACTCAACTACAAAAGACTACTTGCTTTCAAAGAGAAAATTGTCGAGATACTTAATAAAGAATTTCTTGAAGACGAGGCCACGCAGCTGAGTGAATGCGAGGTTGTGCCAATAGATGAGGTAATGATTTTAATAGCTCTTTGCTTCTTCAGTTCGATAAACGATGCGTTTCATGGTGTTTTTAATACAAGTGATAGGCTCAGTTCATTACTGAGTTTACGTAAGGTTGAGGTTTCTCGGATCCAAGTAACTGTCTGATGTAAGGAGATTTCCGGCTCTAGAGATTGCTTCTGCAAGGTCTTAGAGACAATAAAGAGTGGCAAGTTGCTTGTCCGTTTGAAAGTGTCCATTATTTCAAGGTGTCCACTCTGTTCATGAGTGCAAATCGTTTTCACTAGTAGGTATAAACAGCTTCAAATTTTTAAGCCCAATATTGCCATTATTGCTATTTAATGTGTATACGTTGTACGTTTATACTTTATTCGATTTTTCTCCATTTTAACATAGCTTTTCGTCTTTGTGAACTTCTTTGTAATTATCTGTTAATATTCGCATTCAATCTTATCTAAACAATTCATCTTCCAGACTAACAGCCTGTCGATATTGGAGAAAGTATCAGAAATACGTAATAGTACCACAGAGGTAATTATGCTAAAATATTCGTCATAATAAAACATTCGTATTTATGCTAATTATGCTAGGTTGGTTGCATTAACGAGAATTTCAAGGCAATTTGTTTTTAACAGTTTATTTACAAATTCCTAAGAAGATTTTTGTTTTCCCTCTATAAAAGCGTTGAATTTTCCATGTCCTTAATGTTAGTAAAAATTGGCGCGAATTAGTGCAAAAGAACTTTATTTTTACTAGAAATGGAGAGAAAATAAAAATTCCTCGAGATAACAATTGTTTGATATGGAAGATATTCCAAATAGCAGGGAGTCTCGTTTTCTTTATTCTTGGTCTTTTGATAAAGGGAAGAAATCTGGAAAATCGTTTGAGATAATCAACGTTCTTGATGATGAGGAGTCGGGACGTAGGGAGTGGAACTCGTACACCGGTGATCGAAAAACGATTTTCAAAAACCCTGTTAACACCCTACATCAATAAAAACAAAAGTTTTAATGACATCATCACTAGCCTTATCCTTCCTTTGTCCCAGACCCCAGGAAAGCTCTCGACAGGCCGGTCTACTATCTCAACAACCGCTTTCCTTATTCATTGACACATATCTTCTTATTTCAGATCATCGATTGCCTGTCACGGATAATTCCAGGCCTGATTACCTCTGAGGATATTTTGTACAGCACACTTGCTGATGGCAACAATGGAGACGTTTCTGCGGATTCAGCTGTCAAGCTAGAGAGTGAGTTTGTCAAAGAAAGCTTTGAGATCTGCTGGCTTTGAGGTCATTTAAATAGAATAGGCTCTAGAGTGATAACTGCTACTCTGTTATCGGAGAATGATGGGAATCACTGATTCACTGATTCTTTACATTGATTCACTGATTCACAGTTCAATAGATTGATGGAGCCACCAAGCCTGTAGAGATTGATTTACCGTTCCCTGATTTATTGATTTGCTGTTTCGCTGATTTACTGACTGAACGATTCGTTGATTTACTGATTCACTGATTTTCATCATTTACTGATTCAGTGATTGACTGGTTTACTGATTTCCCGATTTACTGATTCATTAAGTTGCTGATTCATTAAGTTGATGTTTCACTGATTTGCTGATTCACTGATTTGCTGATTCACTGATTTGTTGATTCAATGATTTACTCATACCAGCTTACTTTAAAAAGAACAGGCTTTAAAAGAAATGAAAGGGATGATTGATTCACTGTTTCATCAGCACCGGGCCCCACGATTTCTTCTTCACAATTTCTTCTTCACAACTCCTTCATCCATATCTTGAAAACAAAAAAGTTTTCTTTTTGGCGGTCGAAATCCTCTGCCAAAGAGATTAAATGCAGATTCTTGACGTCGAAATGCGACATTAATATTTTGGTAAATAATGCGAACAACTATGATGAAAATAATTGTTTTTTTAATCTTGAGCCAAACACGGGAAATCAAAAATCGTTGCCCATGATTTTCTGTAAGAATTCAAGTAATGGCGCAGAGATATAATTTTAATACTATTTTGACATTATGATATTTTGATGCTATGAGTATGTTCTAGGTGCTGTTGACTTGCAAGAATCCTTAGTGTCACTATCAGACAACAAACTTAGTGCAAAGGTCAAAGGTCAAGATTCACAAGAGCAGGGTTCTCATGGTAGCACCAATCAAATTGGTGTTCAAACTTTGAGTGAACCGAGGAAATCCATTTCTCAGGTATGTCAACAACAGGACCGCTTAAACCGCTTTTTTGCTGCAAATTTTGAAGACAGCATTGCAAACCCTAAAACTGTTTATATGCAAATTAAAATTACATCCTTGTCGGGTAGTTGTCGTTGATGAGATTTTTCATCCACTTTAAAAGTATACTACCGTCTTGGAAAAAATGTATTGCTTCATAGAAGAAATATCTAGAAATTTATTGTTAACTTTTCAACATCCGCCAAGCGTCCTCCTTTTGTTAAGCTACAATCTCGGACAAAATTGTTGAAACAGAATGCTAATTTTGCAATTTTCTACTTTGCGTTGTCCCTGTAAATTCGAATCCCCTTTACCCCCCAAATCACTGTTGGATTTGTAGTTCTATAATTTCCCTTTCAAAATCATGCAGTTATCTATAATTAAATGTAACCCTGATATCCTTTAACGTCCAAAAGACAAGCCTAGCCTAGTAATCCTGATATCCTTTAACGTAAAACTGGTTCAAATGTCATTGTCACTGTGTGAAAAAGTGACAGAAAATCCACATTTTTTGTACTTTGATTCCTTTAGACAAGTTACAGATCTATGTATGCAAAGATATTTCTTCTAGTTTACCTTGTGCTTATGAAGTTTCCCAAAAGGAAAAACCAGCTTCCTATTGGTTTACAACAAAACTGTGGATTCTTTTATATAATCCGTTCATGTTCTCTACCTAGTTAAGTTCAGACGAAAGCAATCAAACTCTGGGAGCAAAACAGACTGGTAGAAAAGAGGGAAGGAAAAAACTTGTAGCTGACTACAAAGAACTTATAAACAAACACCAAGAACTGACTGAGGTACGTCAGCAAAGTAATGTTTCATCCATGACACACTTCAATCCAGCTTTAATATTGACAAATTGTGGCAATAAAATGCTGTTTTCCCTTAAAACCTATCTCCTTAGGGCGGTATCATTTTCATTTCATTGGACTTGCAATTCCATTTTGCCTTCAACTTGGCCTATGATCTTCTAATCATTTTCGCCCTCAAGTTGCCCTATGGCTCTGGCCTTTGACCTTCTAAAATATCTTACCCTCTGACCTCCCATTCCTTGTCCTCAATTGACCTTTACCCTTCGATTGATTCTTGACGAAAAATTTGGATACAGAAAAGGTGAGTTCTTTTTAAATATAGATTGTTTCACGCAGAACAAAGGCAGGATTTTGGCTAGCTTTGTACCCCTTCTCGCGTTTTGGCCTTCTACATATGCAGATCTCTACCTGCATTGAAGAAATACTTTACTACCAAATTGATTATGGACTAACATGGCATTTCATAGGTTTATTGATAAACTCTTCTTCACCTTTATAATTTTGTTTTTTATAACTAACTAACTTTTTCATTTGCTACCAGTTATTTGAGAACCTGACTCGCGATACCAAAACAACCACTGCTTCATACGAGCAACAGCTATCCCAGAATGCTCTCACGATGCAGGAGATGCAAGACGCAATCAACGAACTGCAAGAACAGCTGCAGAGTTATCAAGTCACGCATCCACTAACTGTGAAATCAGCACAGGTAAGAACTGGCTCTCTCTGGTGTCATCGCTCTTCTGTATCTCTTTTTTCTTTGTTCCGTATTTCTGTTCCAATTCGAAACAAAATTTCTCTACTTGTAAAAAATGTGACTACTTAAATATGAACCTCTTTTTATTATTGACCCTCTTTTTCAAAACCGATCTATCTAGGTTCTTTTTTGAGCTAAAGTCCAGAACCAGCACTTGAATAGATATCAAATACTTTGAATGATTCATTTGTTTGAAATATTATGTATTGATTTTATGTATACAGTTGTTTCCGTTAAGTCGGACCTTAAAGCAGGGGGGGGGGGGGGTCTAACTTATGCCGAGTACGACTTTTTACCTGAATGGGATAGAAAACCGGTAATAAGTCCGACTAAGTGAAAGTTCCGGTCATCCGGGGTGTGACGTAACACGGGTTAAGTATACATTGCTCTTATCGTGAAATATGTAGCACCAATAGATCCACTTGTTGCATGAATTCGACTGTCGTATTTGCTCTAATGTGCGAGAGATCCGTTTTTGCATTCTCCTCTTTTAGAAAAGTCTTTAGTCTTTCATCAGATTTTTTACAAGAACCGTATCACTCAACTTTTTCAGATCAAGTCTCCAGACTTCATGTTTACCCGCCTCGATATGGAGCACAACGCCAAAGCGTTAAAACGAGGCCTTCAAAATGGTCGCATCTCTTACGAAGGATATAAGGAAATGTGCAGCCAAATGGAAAACTACGTCAGCATCCCCGGCAAGAGATTAGCTAGATTGGCTCGTAAATATCTCCATCACACGAGAATGAAAGAAGTCGGTATGTAATATGATTTCTGTACAACGTGATAGAGTGTTGAATTCTTCCAATTTCTAACAGATTTTCCTAGATATATTTTTAGACAAGGACCTTTAAAGATACGTTTGTCAATAATATTACCAACAAATCGCTACTCCTCCTTAGCTCTTTTTGTTTTCTAGGTTGTTCAAATGTCGTTGTTGTCTCTGAACGTTGTTTCTCTTGACCTTTGCTTTTTGACCTGCTTACTTCTGACCCTCTGACCTTTATCACTTTCGCATTTTTTCTATTTTTGTCTTCCACTCTGGCCATTAGTTTGTCGTTGCTCATCTATGTGTTAGATTACTCTTGAGATTCTGATGGTAATTTGGCTAGACCAGTTTTTTTATGATCTTTTGCTATTGTTTCACGACCTTTGCTTTTCTAACCTTTGTCGTATGACCTTTGTCCCTTGACCTTTGCCTCGTTACCTTTGCCTCTGGATATTTTCCACACTAACCTTAGATTGTTTTCCGCACAACAGAGGCAGCAATTCGAGCATCTCGGCGTTTGGATGACCAGGTTTACGAGCTTCTCGATAGAATGGAAGATTTTCAACAGACAAGAACGATGCGTTGGGAACAGAGGATGGAGATGTTGGCGGGTGAAAGAGAAGAAATTGCGAAGCTTCTTGTGAAGACCTTGGAGATGATCGAGCATGAGACAGGAATATTTTTGATAAAGCCGATCATGTCCATCCCATCGAGGTAGCATACCCTTGAGTTTTAAAAATCGTTATTTTGAGTTTTCAAAAATTTATTGTATACCGTATTGAAGATTTTTGCAGTCAATACATCTCTTATTAAGAAAGGTAGTCTGTCCCCTTTTGATCTCAGAATCTCTTTTCGTGGCCACGATGAAATATGCATCGTTTATTTAATGCACAAGTAACAATCAGAATGAAAAAAACCACAATCGCGTTCTTTCGCTGATTAAGTTGCTGTGAATTTGTTTTGGAAGTCAGATTCGATTGTATAAAGATTAGGCATTTTTGTCGTGTTCGCCCACAATAACAAATGTCGGATGCTAAAAATGCAGAGGAAAACCCTCTTTTAAGGAGAGGCTTTCAAGTTAGAATTAGCCAATCACGGAGGGGACAGGCTGTCTTTAAAGGGATGAGAAGCAGCATGTTGACTCTCGTAGAGTCATTCAATAGACTATAGCAAAATTCATAGTTAACTTACGGTAACCAGTCTGAGGTAACCAGTCTGAGTAGTGGGTAACTCGGAGTTACAGCTTCTAGACTCTCAAATACCAATGGCTTGTCTAGCGCAGCTCTGTTTATTTGCTACTGGACATTTAAAATAACTGTTAGCTGGATATTTGCGACTTAAGGCTCTATGTCCCGTCAATCAACCTTTCAGGGTTAACAGCCGGCTCTGCAGCGCATTTATCATCTTAAAATGTTTAAATTAGTCCTGCCATGCTGATTGGACGACGTAACAATAGCCTATTGTATAGTGCAACCAATAGGAATTGAAATGGCCACTGAAATTCGTCGATACATGGTGCCTTGAAATTATCCAGCCAGTTGTCTAACTATAACACCAGAGTCACTACAGAAAACCCTGGAAAACTAGAGAGTTACCACTCGTAACCATTCTGAAATAATTAACTAGTGTCTTCCTATGTACACACCATCAAGCAGTGTATAATGCCAAAAAATATTAATTTTTCTATAAAGTGAGGTTAAATATGTCTTTTCACGCAGGCGCAGAATTGGAAGTGGATATATCGTTAGCCGGAGGGTCAAATCGCCTAAAGATGATGGTTTCACAAGGGAGCAATCTTCAGGGTTTTTAGCCCCACATTCAACCCCATCCCCAAGCGCAAGGAGAAGCCCCCATAGGCGCACAATTGAGCCGGGCGCATCGATACAGAGTCTTCGTCGATTGAATTCTGATGAACTGCAAATGAATGTCAAATCAATGCTGGCAGAAAATGGGACAACGGATTCAGTTTGGAAGGTTAGTTCCCCCCTGGAATATTTGAAAATGCAGTTACTATCAAAATTGACAAGGGGGTTACCCAAGGAATGTTTCAAAGCCCAACTCCCATGGAAATATATGACAGCTAATGAACTTTAATCGATTGGTGGTGACCATATAGGATCCGCCCTGAAAGCCTTTGAGTTAAATAAAGAGCAAGACATACGTACTCAAGTTCTGTGGCGACGCCAGCTCGAAAAACTGGGGTGGACGAAAAGAAATTTTCTCGGCCACGCCCTTCAGACTCCTGGAAAAGCCTTTTTAGTATTTTTTACCCATTTTGAAATTTTTGGACAAGCAACTTTTTCAAGCAGCATTTTTCGAAAATCGAAATCGATCTGCTCAGCCCACCTCCCCCCTCAAAGGTTTTTCAACAGATTTCGAGAAATTAGAAAGTCGATTTCTAGTAAACTGGGGTGGACATGTCCACCACAGTCCACCCCTTGGCGACGCCACTGCTGAAGTTATAGAACAAGAGATTGCGTGAATTCCAATTACGAGGTATGATCTTCAGTTGAAAAAAGCTTTCACTATTCGAGACTAGAAGCTTGGAAAGACATCACTACCACCATCAGACAACTCTCTACTCTGCAACAATTTAAAGAACACCACAAAGAAGCTACATTTAAGCAAGCGCCGCGGAGAATGAAAATTGCTAAGAAGCAAACGACCAGTAAAGCCTCATTTTATTCATTTTTTGCCCCCCCCCCACTTTTTCAGACCCCCTCCCATTTTTTCAGACCCCTCACTTTTTTCAACGCTCCACAGTATCTTTTAAGTAGCTGAATTGAACCAAAGCACGACTCCCTGGAAGATCAGTTTGGCCTGTGTTTTATTAAAGTGCCTTTATATATTTTCAATACTCTTGTATTATTTAAGTTTTTTTGCTGAAGTGATTTTCTCGTGTATAAGCAAAGTCTAATGATAATTGCCTTACATGCCAGAGGCCTTGACAACTCAGTGTTACAATGTTATTCTTATCATTATAATTCTTACAATGTCCATTTATCCATTTAAGGTACAATCATCCCTGAGCGGTCCTTTACCCATAGCCAGGTCTCTTCCCAATATCCCGAAAATTATGGAGCTGGACGTGAACAGAAGTATGTTCGCAAACAACCTTGTCAGGTACGTAATATAATAATAATGATGATGATAATATACAGTGGCGTACCCAGGGCGGCAGCAGTAGGGGGGGGGGTCTGGAGGAACGTCCCAAGAAACTTTTTTGGGACCACGCCCTTCAAACACTCGCAAATGGGGGGAACGCCCTTTTTGCAAAATTTTCCTCCATTACTTGATTCATTTTAGCTACGGTAAATAGCAAAGTATTTTACAATTATTATTGACACAAGCATACAGTATACTACATCCCCCCCCCCAATGAGTTTTACGTCGTTTTTGGACAAATCTCGAGGATCATATATTTGAAAAGTGGGGGTCCGGACCCCCCTATTCCCCCCCTTGGGTACGCCACTGATAATATAGGCATTTTTATAGTGCCGTATATATGTGTAACTGCTATTAGAGAAAACATATATAGAGAAGGGCTAGAGGAAGGTGCTGTGCTGTAAAAAGAGCCAGGGTGTGGGGGATCTATCGTGTGAGACATCAGAAAATTCTGCACAAGAAGTAACAGTTATGATAGGTTCTAAACATAACTATCTGTTTTTTCTAAGCATATTTATCTGTAACCATTAACAAAGTCTCTCTGCCCGCCATCTTTAAATGAATGGTCGAATGCTCCCCTCTTTTCCTGTGCCACTAGATACAATTGGGTTATTGTTTTTTATGCCTATCTCCAGCCACCAAGGTAACCGCATTTTATCAATGATGCTTTATCTCTGATTTTATCGATGAAACTAACAACTAATTGAAAATGTGAATTTTTATCTATGAAACTAAGCCCAAATCAGTCTCCAAAGATCTGGTCTGCAACAAAGTGCAAAAAATTACTGAAAATTTGATTATTCTTTGAAATTCTTGCTAAGAAAGCTTATCGACGTTTGAAGTTATGATGCAGTAACTTAAAGGCATTGAGTCATGATAAATAGACTGGGTATACCCAAATTGCCAAAATCCGCTGAGTCATGATTTCCATAACTGCGATGCTATTGCTTGACCTTGTACTGGTCACATGAACTCACCTTGTACTGATTAACATAACAGTTTCCATCAATAGCAAGTTGTCAACAACGGATGCCAATATCACATGAAACAGCAGCGATCACGCCGAAACCAAATGACCCCCTATAGAGAAAGCCTATTTACCATGACTCAATGCCTTTAAGCTTTGCTTATCAAAGCACACAACTTCTACCCGACACGGATACGATACTCGTCGTAAGCAATTACGATACTGCTTTACTTATACAAATTGAATAGCTAACCTGCAGATAACAAGGTTTGTAACTACTTCTGTACGACAATTTTCTTCTTCCAGCACACGACTACCATCCGACACAGATACGACATCAGGTCCGCTGCATTCCAATGTCTTGTCATACATAACAGTCACACGGCCATCGGGCGAGATTGGAAAGCAAGCATCGACAAGATTCGACCAATCAACTGGTACAGGTGAGATCGCTAATATCCGTGCGTTGCGTGGACTTGCGTGTCTCTTGTGGCTTTTCGCGAGTCGACTCACAAATGTTTTTTCATTATCACAGCATTTGAACTTGTAGCGGCCCAAATCAGACTCAGGAAAATGAAAAGCAAAGCCAACGATACAGAAAAGAAATTAAAAAAACGCAAAAATTCGCGGTCCCTGAAAACGTTACAGAAAAAGCAGTTGAGACCGCGGGTTTGCTGCGAACGTTCGACTAAACCTCGCGTTTTCTTGAGGCTGTACGCGTAGCATTAGCCAAGCCGGCGCTTTTAAAGTCTAGTTATTAGACTGGTCGTGAATAGGTGACTTAATAACAAAAACAATCTAGATATCGAACTGGTTGAACCATGTTGTTGAATCATACTTAGAACATAAAATGACATACCCAGAATTGTTGTTTAAAGGTTTTCACGGATATCGAAGCTCAAAATTTATTTTTCCCAGAAGTCACTTCTCTACCCACAATTCATTTCATTTCACGTAGTCAGCCAAGTCATGAATCAGCCAGTTTAATCTGCGAAACGAATAAGACAAAAATTGCTTATGAAGATGTCAATGTTAAACTTTATAGATGGTAGCCAAACTCTTCTGTCGTTAGTCTTATGAAAAGCTGAAAGTTTTTACGCTGGTTTTATAGCAACAAATTTGCAGGTTTTCAAGTTTTCATCAAACCTGGGGTAAAAAAAAGCTGTCTCACCAACTCGCTGTAAAAGAACTCATTTACAACAGTTTGAAGTACCGTTATAATTCGATTAACCCCCTCTTCTCGACTTAAGCATAACCTTTTATTCATTTACCAACTGCTCATAAAAACACAATTCCAGTATCTAAAGAGAGCTTAGTGTGTAGGAGATTACCCCCCCCCCCCCCCCCCCCCCCCCCTGCAAAATTGATAAGAAACCCAAATTACTCCGTGTTTCTCCTGTTTCCTAGGCTTCCTGTTTTCTTTCATTTCTAGGCTTCCTCCTTGCCTTAATGAGCTTCTAACATTTCAGTTGTAGGCATGGGACGGACCATTTCCTTTTGGATAAAAACTGGTTCTTTGTTACTAATGTTCTTTCTTATCCTTTCCAGGCAATGAAAGTTCTCCACCTCCACCGTCACCATACGAGGAAAACAATTCAACTCAACAAATCCGCAAGCCACAAAGCCCGTTGCCTCCCATTCGCCCATCGCCATATAACGATGATGGAAGGTAAGTGAAATTGTTTAACCGAATCACGTGGTAGAATATGTTTTATGAGTGAGTAAGACAATTCCACAAGTGCTGTAGCTAGTATGAAAGGGGGTGGGGGGCATTGCATGATGACATAGACAAATGGGCACTTCCACCAACAATAGACATGTAATACAAAGCCTATCATTCAGAATTATTTGGGGCACAAACCCCTTGCTCTCTACCCCTTACAGTCAATACGGGTCTGAATAAGACAAATTATGTGTAGCAAGTAAGTCTCAATTGAGTAAGCAGAAGCGAACGCTGTAGGGGCATTCATTGGCGGAAATTATGGATGGGAGGAGGCAGGCTATTGTTTGCAGTTTGTCACGATTAAGATAATTTATCCATAAGTATGTGATGTTTTCAAAAACCTAAAATTCTGGGCTAAAATGGCCTAGACCATACCATATTGGGTGATCTAGGCCCTTTTCTCAAATGCCTGATACATCTGCTGGTCTCTTTTAGGTCTGTGTCAACGTATCTCTCAGACGCTGAACGTGTTTGGTCACCAGTCATCGCCCATTGAAGCTTTGAAGAATTGGGAGGGCCTCGCAGAGATGTCCTTACAAGAAGGGAGGCACTAGAGAGGAGAGAGCCTCAAAATGATGCTTGTGAAGAAAATCTGCGTGAATTTTGATGTTTTTGAAACAGTTCATTACGATTATGTAAATAACATACAAGTGACAATTGATCTCTCCAAGAAGATCATAAGAGTAAAGGGTTTTTCTATGGTAAAAAGATATGTCAAAATATCTTAGGTGCATTGCAAGAAGGAATAAGCCAAGAGGAGAGAGCTTTGAAGGCACAATCTTCCTAATTAGACCATTAGAAGAAACGCTTGTGTACCCATCCTTCTTGGTACATCTTAGATACATTTGGAAAGACAACAGGGAATAATCTTTACGTACATCAATAAGACTAAAATAAGATCAAAATTCTCTACTGATTATCCTCAAGAAAAGATCGACTGTAATTGTGTTGCTGTTTTTAGGATTCCTGTTTTGCGACAGTCAAAGGAAAGACATGTATATCATGATCTTAATGATACTGTCTTTGTAAATATATTTTACATTTTAAGATTGTGTATATAATGTGGTTTCCATAGCTCTCTATTTGCAACACCATTGATTGGACACCATTAGCACTTTTCTGCTCTCTACCACGCCATATATAACGAATCCTCCTTTATCAACCGAGCCACCCTAAAATAACCAGTTTACATATCACTAAAAACATTTTCATTTTCTATTCTCTCGTCATTATCCATTCTTTTTAAAGAGGAAGAGAAAATATTGTTTAAGAACAGTAAATGCTTGTAGTAACTTTTTTTGAAGGAAAGATTGAATCTATGATCTCGCCTGTTAGCAAAGTTTGACAAGCAACCCATCGAGAGAGAAAATTTAAGTTCAGACAGGATGATTGCTGATACTTTCAATCATTTCTGGCTATAAAGAGCAATCACGATCATTTTTACAAGTCTCTTGTATATTGATTCTTTCCATTATTTTTTCTTGAAAAGATTCATCAGAACTGATTGCAGAATGTGAATAACTGTTGAATGTTTGATTGTAGATTCATATTATTTGTATAAAAAATTCTTGAAGAACTTGTTTCTCTATGTTTTAAAACCTTCATTTGACTCATTCTGGTTGTTTGCCTTCCTGACCTGCACAATTAAAGAACTACGTTTTTTAAACCCCGGGAAGCAACTAAATATATCAAAACCCATGCAGAGAGAATATGAACATTTTTTTGCAGTACAGAATTTGAAAATGGCTTTGAAAAAAGCAAACATTTTACAACATACTAACAGCTTTTTCGTCTGACACTCCTCAGAGCATAAAACGTCAGAATAAGGGTCTGAAAGAAATAGGCCAATCAGAAAAACGCAAGCACAAGACCGGTATAGTTGACCAATCAGTGCCGCGTGCCTAAAGAAAAATTACCATTGGAGTCCAAGAGAGAAAACGAACTCCTTCTGTGTACACAATGACGGCTTTATTTGTATGTAGATCGACTCTAAACTGCTAGATGGAATAGTTCAATAGCTATTCCAAAGCAGATCTCCAAAACAGAGAGAATAGTTCAACAGCTGCCTGATGATTGCATTAATCGTTTCCCAAACAATTTCCAAAAAGCATGATTGACTATAATTTTTGCTTCTTGGATTGAGCTCTACCTAAAGACAATTTTTAACAATTAAAACAGTTTTTGAGAAAAATTTCTATTGTCATTCTGTTCCTGTGAAGCGGAGCTGTGGAGGAGCGTTTCTATTGACAACGGCGTATTTCTTGTTGCCAAGCCAATGTCAAGATATTACAAGTTGCAGGAAAGCAAGAAAGTTGAGGATCTCCATTTGTTTTATATTTTAAATATCAAGATGACATCTACAGAGCCTATGTATTGTTCTCAACAGATAAAGATACCACCAGAGTTACCAAATATATTAAAACAGTTCACAAAAGCAGCGATCAGAACACAACCAAAAGATGTTTTGCAGTGGTCTGCAGCGTAAGTGATTATAGGCCTAAAGCCGGGCCGGGCCTAGCCTTGCTCGTTTTAAACATTATTTTATGATCTATGGGATCTTCAGTGGTGATTTCAGAACGAAACACGTTTTTTCAATAATTTTCTTCCAAAAAATACATGTCAAAGCGATATTTACATATTCTCAAAAAATCGCCGACGAAACTTGATCCAGTCCAGCTAGCATTTGAACCCCATATCAAGGAAAAACCTGTTCTACTCAAGATAAGTTTGTAAAATTATAAGGCCTTTTCAGTAATTTCAAAATCTATTCTGCGACTTGTGATGAATAATCTCATGACAAAAAGACAAATGAGGTGAAATAGTAGTTATCTTATTCAGTCAAAAACATCAAAACCACTGAATTATCATTTACTTTACCATTATCAACTACAAAAGAAGAAAAATGGAATTAATAACCAGTCAGAAATACAATTATAAAAAATAATGACTCATTTTGAAGTCTTTGTATAAATCAGCAAATTCTATGTCTTAAATTATGTATTTATTCCTTACTATTTTTCAACTACATTTGAAAAAAATCTAGTCAAACTTCTGGTAAAAATTGGTTCCCATGGTTAGGATACACTAATTTTTTATAAGAAACAAAGGTCTATGTTGAGTACTCCAGTTTCTTAATATTCTGGAAATTTGATTACTCGTTGTTTCTTAAGAGTTTCTTAATTATGATGTCATGAATGATGTTATGAAATGTTCATGACCTTTTTGTCACGTCAAGAGATTCGCTTATGTTCGATGCTGTATTTAGATGTGGGAAGTATATTTTTATCCCTTATGTCTTAAGTTCTAGGCCAACAGGGCAATCATGTTCTTGGATTTTACAAAATTTTGATGTTCTCAGTTTTATCATGATTTAAAAATTTCTTAACTTTTTGCTTTGATTATAGAAGTTTTTTAATTTTTTCTGACTGTCCAGTACTTGTTTCTAATTGCCAGTTTTTTAAAATAAATTGTAGTGGTGCAAACTGAGGTTTTTGGGAAATTTTATAAGCATCTGCCCCCTTGCATTGTTTTAACTTGCTCTAAATTAGATCATTTTATGGCTTCCAGGTACTTTGATGCATTAAATAAAGGGGAACAGCCTCCAGTAAAAGAGAGACTAGATTATAAACTCGGCCAACCACTGGATAACCCAGTAACAAAAGGGGCACTGGCTGTTCTCCACAAGCAGGTAAACTTGTTGCTTTATTTTCTTCCATTTTTAATTTTTATTTCCTATAAATATAAAAAAAAACTTTGAAAGGTATATTTTTGTCAGGAATTTTGTGAGGAATAATTTTTTTCAAACTAATGATTTATGGTTAGTTTTAGTTCTTCGCACTATTTGCAGTTTTTTGTTGTGTTTTCCTATCTGGGATTTGTTTAGAATATTATGAAAATTTCCAAAATATTTTATCAACATCCATGACCCTATTTACAGCATAAAGAATTAAAAGTTGGAATATTTTTTAAAATATAAATTAAATCTCAAAATTCTGCATAGTTTAGTCAAAAAAGAGTATAGGTAAAAGTAAACTGGCTATCTATGAAAAACGCATCTCTGATTCACACATGAAAACAGAAATAACTTGATGTTTAAAAACAGAAATTAGTTGAAGACATTTAGCTTCTTCATATAATCCTTTATTTTCCTTGATTTTTTCAAAAGCAACGATCTGAATGATAGATAAGAAGATGTGTAGTTTCTCTAAACAAATCTATCCACTCCTCGGAAATCAAGTTGAGGTGCAGGAGTTGACAGAGCAATGGCATTGACAAAGATTATTATCATTGCTTGAAAGCTAAAAGCTCTTGCTTTAAACTAAATTTTTTTGTAGCTTGGAAATAAACCAGTTGTTGAACTTTGCAAAGTTGAAGAAAAATGGAATGCATTGTGTTTACCAAAAACGAATTTGGATGAAGTTATGAGGTATTTATTATTAAGTTTATGTACTGCTTTTTACATCTTATAAGCAAAAGTATTTCTTTAAAAATAAACCATTTTTTTCAAAATTTTAATTTGTTTGTCGTGAGTCTTTTTCAGTAATCACAATCATTTATTTATCCATAGCCTTATAAATCAGAAATGGACAGAAGTTTCTTTGGATCATATAGCAAAATTTTTCTTTGAAGCTAAAGCACATATTTCTGAAAAACGTTTTTAAGAGTTTGAGTTGAAATTTTTCGCATGTTCATCTTATGAATCTTTTTCAAATTAATTATTTTCTAGGTTAGGAAGTTTTGGTGAAGAATTCAACTGGCTACAATTTTTGGCTTTGGCCTGCAGTACTATAAACTCGGTAAGTTAATTCCTAAAAAAGAGTAAAATCCTCAATTGACCTAACAAGGAACAATACTCTTAAAACCCAATGCTAAAAAACTAGTGTCCAAAAAACAAGCGCAGATAGTTTTTTCAACTTACGAAAACATGTCTCGTGGCACATTTATTTGTTGATGTTTGTTTTCCTTGTTACCCTTTGTTCCTCCTCCTACTTGACCTTTTTTCTCCCTCGTGTCACAGCCCCCTACATTTTCACATTCTCCTTCCCACTTGTCATGATAAGCATCTCTCTCCAACAAGCATGATGTCTACAATGCAGGCTAAATGCACAATTTCACCATAAAAAGTCCCAGGCCAGCCATGATTCTTATGCCCCCTTCTAACAACCCCTATTAATTTCTATCACCCTTTTCCTCTTCTTTCTGCTTCCCACTTGAAATACTTATTCTCTGTAGTATTTTGAAAAGCAATTTTGATGTCCCAATGCAATTTTTAACCTTTTTCACTCCCCCTTGTATTTTCCAAAGAAGGACAATGGTTTGCAGTTTCCACTAAACGTATAAAAGTTTTGAAGACAATTTTTGATATGATAAACTCTATGTTTCTCGAACAGAACCTGACCTCAACAATGCAAACGATATGCGACATGATCACAAAAGACCTTGAAGGGGGACCATCAAGAATATCATTTAAGAAATTCAAACTATTGTACACGTACCTAGCTGAAGTTGATGGTGACATCTCTGCAGAACACGTGGCTTCTGTTCTCGAGCATTTGTCATCTGACGCGTGAGTCTAAAAAAGAATTTACATGTTTTGCCATTTTTCTTCCTTTAAAAATGATCAGGTTTTATAGACGCCTGATCATAAGTATTTGAGAATTGAACACAACATTTCAAGCAAGCCCAATAAAGATGACTCCTTTTGCCTCCTTGTGGCCAATTCTGAAAATTCGACTTTGTCTCTTCCATATTCATTGATCACCAGATAGAAAAGTTAGGCCTGTCATGGAATTTTTTCTACCCATCAACCTTGAACAATTATTGTCTTACCAATCCATGAAGGGTAAAAGAACAATCCGGAGAGGTACCATGTTTTGTTTGATGCCATATTTCTAGGAGAGGGTTCCCTGACCTTGGGCGATCTGTAATTCGCTGAAGCAGTCAAAAAACTCCTCGACGTGTATGACACGAGGTTAATCGGATTATCCGAACCCCGGGTAAACGAAGCCACCAAAGGCGTGGGGTGTTTCATACTTTCCAAGCAGCGTACAAGATTTTGGGACAATAGGATTTTCGGGATTTTTCGGGGGTTTTTCTCGAAAACCAAAGGATTTTTTCAAAGGTGTACGAGACTATCATGAAATGAAAACCTCTCGACCAGAAGCCACGACAGACTTATTGGTAATGGAGGCCCGCTAGTATCATTAGGGGGCTTGAATTTCCTTAGAAGATTTCTCTTCGGTGATTGGTAGGTTTAACTCATTGGCGTCGCCAGGTCGAAAAAACTGGGATGGACAAAAACAAATTTTCTCGGCCACGCCCTACAGACTCATGGAAAATCCTTTTTTTTAGTATTTTTATCTTTTTGAAATTTTTGGACAAGCAACTTTTTCAAGCAGATTCAACGGATTTCGAGATATTAGGATATCGACTTTTGGGGAAACTGGGGTGGACCTGTCCACTCCAGTCCACCCCATGGTGACGCCACTGTTTGGTAACCCTCATTTGACCACTCCTTGTGTTCCCACTCCTTAAAGAAAATCTAGTGGTAAACAAAAAAAAAAGTAAGCCCCCTCTTTTAAAAGACATTTTGACTACGTTAGGTTTGTCAACGTTTTTTTGTTGGGCTACCCTTCTTTCATTTCTGTTGTTGATAGCATGATAGGTCAATGTTTATGAACCCCCAAGCCCCGTTAAGAAATCTCGTGCACCTTGATCGATAGTCGTTGCATTTTTCCACCTGTCAGCGATCAATGCCATAACTTGTAGAACATTTGTGATTTTTCAACCTTTTGCGTGCATCTATTCCCATACCCTTCAAACAATGATACTAATTAACTATCAAGCGGGGAAGTTAAGACATACTTTTGTGACAAATTATGTAATCACAATTGGTTTAACTTTTTAGTGTTTAATCAACAATGTTGAAAGGGATGGGGTGTGGTTGGTATATTGGAATTTCGGAAAAGAAACGAAAGACACAAAATGTAGCGAAATACATTACCATGGGTACCAAAGCCCTAGAAATTGGAAAGAGAATAGAGAAAGAGAAGAAAAAGCAGACAGGGTAGTGGAAGAAAAAGAGAGAGAGAGAGAGAGAGAGAGAGAGAGAGAGAGAGAGAGAGAGAGAGCGAAATAGGCCTTTCAATGCCCCTTCCCTCTCTATATATTTCTCTCAACTCTATTCCCCTCCAAGTTTCTTAGGCTCTAGGACCCGGGGTACCCATTCATTTTAGCACTATGCATTCCTTCTTCCTTAAATATTGTTGACAGCATGAGAAACACGGTTTTTCTATCTTCCAGCGATCGACAGCAAGGCAAGGTTGGACCAGGGAATTTCATGAACGATGCATGCCCGAGACTTGCACCCGAATCGTCTTGATGTGTCTTTATTTATTTTTATGTTGTAAATACCATTTCGTATATATTGATTTGAAGTTTTATTTGAAGTTCTATCTCGTCATTTTTTGTAGATAGTATCAGACGTGTATTCCAGCTATTTGGCTTGAAAATCTTATTTCAATGTGTTTTTCTGTTTGTTTTTTCGATTAAACAACAAGCACCTAATATTCCGGGACACCAATAACATCAAAGAATTTCGTCTTTGTGCAAAAAATGGTTTACAGCTCCAGACTAAAATCACCGCTCCTAGAGGCATAAACTTACTAAAACATCTGCTCCTAGAGTTATTGCCTACAACTCCAGACTAAAATCACCGCTCCTAGAGTCATAAACTTACTAAAACCTCTGCTCCTAGAGTTATTGCCTACAACTCCAGACTAAAATCACCGCTTCTAGAGGCATAGACTTAGAAACCAGGGGCGCAAGGAGCTCGTCTCCCCTCATGTCAGAGGTACCCCTTTTTTGCCTACATGTGCTGGCCCCTTCTTTGAAATGTTCCTACTTTTATGCTTATTCCCCCACGCCTGATTTGGTATCAATTCACTGTTAAATACTGTTAAATTCGCTGTTAAGTACATTTTTAACTGTCACTTCAGTGGTTTTGTGGTCAGGAGGGTTGATAGGCCAATGACCCTTCAGTTTAGAAAATTTTCGGTTTTAGCGCAAAATTTTTTGCGAAATATTTCTAACACAGTTGTCCTGGACAAGGGACGCCGGATAATTGGGTCGCGGGGGGTTCAACCACCCCTGTTGCATTTTGATAGGAAGGAAAAGAGGGGCCAGAGTGCTGTTTTCATTAAAGTGCCCTTGAAACCGGCCATTGGCAATAATCAGAGAGATTTCTATGAAATTCTTATTGTAGTGCCTAATTCATGACGACATTTCTCAAAACTTGTACCAATTCCTTATTCCAAAAGTTAGCCAAGATATCTACAGAAAATTGAAGTAAATTGCAGGTCGTGGAAGGAATTAGTAGAAGCTGGGATTTGTCTTTCAAATACCCTTCTATTCAAGCCCTCTTGCCCTTTAGTTGTTACGGCTTCCCTGTCCTGGACTGATACTTGGCTATTCGCGTTTTCTATTCTCAGAAAATCTCTGGCCTTCTTTAAAAATCAATCACATCTTTGGTTCTGTTTTCATACTTCTGAACAGGATAAATTTATGACATCTTCATCTCACTCGAGTCTGCTATGACGTCCGCTTCCTTATAAAAAATAAAAATTGTATCGAGGTTTTCTTAAAGAATTCAGGTAAAGGTTTTCTCGTATTTATTTCGCTTCATCAATGAAACTTCTTTTCTTCAATGACTGTAATCTTCAAGGATTATTTAATGAGAAACAGAATTTAATCCTAGATGTTTTTGCTTATTAATTTGTTGATTTCAATCAATAAATCTCAAAATATCAAGCAAAGAAATTTAAATTGATTCTATTTGGAATATGAACAATATTTGGCTTATATTGAAAAAAGTTCTGTAGCAACAATCTCAAATACCTAGGCTGTAAAAGTAAATCAAGATGTGTCACAAAAATAGCTGTTCGAAAATGCTATTCTGTTAAGACAAAATTGTAAACGAAAGATGATATTTCTAAAGTATGACTGCAGTAGAAAGCTCAAACCAGAGAACTAGACAGATAAACATATTTTTCAGCACTAAAATCGCCTTTCGATAAGATATTGTTTTGGAACCAGTAATTTCTTATTAATTCGTATCTTGTTGAACTTAGGCATGAAAAATCTCACAAAACGAATATCATGGAAACATTTTGTGTTTAATTGAAAAAGAGTTACAAAATTATCGACAGCAACCTGGAATTAATTTTCTAGCAAAAACAGATGCATTTGTTAAGACTAAAATAATAACTGTTCCACAATGAAGGAGATGTACTGCGCGTTGACTGTTCGAACAAAAATGTAATGTAAACAAATTCCTGGAAGGGCCTAAACTCCTTCAGTCTACCTCTAGCAAAATATCACCGCATACTGCCGAAAGATTTTGGTAAAACAGCAACAAACCTTTGAATAATGAAGAACCATAACTTCAGCCCAAAGCGTGGGTAAATTTGTCGATTTTTTGCAATTTTTGAGTAAATATATCTTATCCTCGCAGCAACACAAGTGCACGTGTTTACAAATGTTCAGACATGCGCGCGCTGGGAATTGCCCAATGGGATTGGTTAAACAAAGAAAGCACAATGTGGTTATTCTCATTAGGCCAAGATTGTGACACTTGACAATTAGGTACACGTGAAACATTCTTTTGGGAGTGGAATCCCCGGAAGTGGATAACACCCCTGGCCCCAAAGCAAACTCATTCTGTCCTGCACGTAACGATGTGGGATCGAATGGAAAAGTGACTAAAGGCGGGTTTACACGATCGTTTTTCCTTAAATTTTTTTTCGATATTGGACCGCGATGAACGACAACGATCGTGTAAAAGGCTAAATTGCTGAAAAAAGATTGATGCTATCTGTCGTTTTTAATCCGCTTAATTGGCGATAATGATCCATCGCTGAAGATTTTATTTTGACTCCGGGTCAAAATAAAATCTCTACCATCATTTTTTTTCAAAGGGGCCGACAAATTCTGACGTCATGTCAGCCTCGGGGAGAGCAATTTTCGAGAACTTTTTACTAAGTATTAGGGGTGAGAAATTGGATTCATGCTATGAGAACTAAAATAGTCGGGGTAGTTAAACGGGGCAGGGACTATTTTTGATTAAAAGAGGTTCGGGTTTACAAGTTTGTTTGAGAATCGGCCGTCATTAGCTACATTAAGGTTTTGAGGCAACGAAAGAATAAGAAAATCCATCCATATATGACAAATGCACAATAAAAATTATCTGGACTCGCGGGAACATAAAATGTTCTGCAATATTTCCCTAATTTTTTCGGCTAAACTTTAGCTTATTACCCTTAGTCTAGGGGTAAAGGTTAGAAAGAGCCGTGTCTACTCTCCCCCATGCATCAATCAGTTGTCATCCAATCATTAATGTGGTTAGCCTAAGGACGGGCCATTGCTCAGAGGAAAACTTGTGAAACCCGAACCTCTTTTTATCTAAAAATAGTCCTCTGCCCGTTTTAACTACCTTCCCCAACTATTTTAGTTCTCAGAGCATGAATCCAATCTTTTCTTCACGCGAATACTTGGTAAAAAGTCTCGAAATTCTCTCCCCGGGGCTGACATGACGTCAGAATTTGTCGGCCCCTTTGAAAAAAAATGATGGTAGATATTTTATTTTGACCCAGAGTCAAAATAAAATCTTCAACGATGGATCATTATCGCCAATTAAGCGGATTAAAAACGACAGATAGCATCAAACTTTTTTCAGCAATTTAGCCTTTTACACGATCGTTGTCGTTCATCGCGGTCCAATATCGAAAAAAAATTTAAGGAAAAACGATCGTGTAAACCCGCCTTAACTAAATAAGTTTTTTCCCAATATAACGGTGTCTCAATTATCAATTAAACATTTTTTCAACGAAGCAACATAAAAATTCCTCTAGATTTGCTAAGTTGAAAGCACTGAGAAGCTGTGCTTATCGAGCAGTGTCAATGTCCTTCCTCTGGATGTGCCCACACCTTGTGATTCCTAAGCCTGAAATTTCAGCAAGCTGTCGACTCTCCTGTATTTAGCACAGAAATATAGCATCAAAAAACAAAAACAACTCTGACAAAAACCATAAAAGCTTAAAGCAGTGCAAGAAATGTTTGGATAGGGGGTTAACTTAACCACAAACCACCCCCTACCCCCAATCCTATTGACCTTAAGAGCAACAACAGCGGTAATTGAGAATTAAACAAAGTATCTGGATGACAAAATTATCTCTGGAAAAAAGCTTTATATTCAAAATTATTTCAATTACAAGTCTTAAATAATATTGATCTCACACACTTTGCGCCAGTCTTACGCATTCGAGAAGGAAGGAAAATTACGAAAATACAATACAAAAAACACTAATTAAAAGTGATACGCACTAATTAAGGAGCAGAAACGTGACAATTAAGCTATATTTGTAAGCAATATAGATTGCATGTTAAATAAAACCCAATAAAAGAGGGAAATTATGACAGGATACTCAAATTTTGTATAAATGTTGAGCAGCTTCCTCAAACGAACAAAAAATTTAGGAGAGCTTTATCATCACTGGAAAGGGTAAGAATAACTACTTAATGGAACGATTGTTATTAGAAGAGCATTGTGGGAAGGGGCATCAGATCAGATTTCTTGTTTAACAGTTGTACTTTTTCACTATCGTTCGAACATGCCATTATGGCAAACGTAAGCAAATCACAATTGGTTATCATACAAATCTTAAGCCAAACATAATTCATTAAGCGCCAAAAATTGCGGGGGATTTATTTTCGATGAAGCTAGTTAAATAGTAAATAAATCCTATCAAATTTATCTAAACCAAAGTTTTATCGCACGGAAATTTTTCAAAATATAGAAAACTGTAATTTTTCGTTTTTACACGAGCTTTCGGCAATCTCTAAATCAGCTTTCTCAAAATCAAGAGTGCCAATTTTTTCGCATTTCCCCTTTTTGGCAAAATATCAAAAGATTCAGCAGAAATCAAAATATCGAAGCTCAAATATGTAGAGGTCAAAGGTTAGAATAGCGAAGTTCAAATACGTTGAGGGCAAAGGTCAAGGTATCAGGGCTCAAATATGCAGTAACTGTCCTAAAACGTTGGAACTGCAAATGCGCACTGACTCTCAATTCCAAGATTGTAGCTATTTCCTTCCCCATTTTTGTACAAACTCGTAACAATTTTGAACCATCCCTTTTCACCCCACGGCTGTCCCCACGAATTTCTGCCAATCCAGTATTCAGTGCCATCATTATCCACACCCCAACCAACAATGGATATGATATGGTTGATCATTGAGAAGAAATGGTATTCTTTGTAAACTCCGCCCTCATAGGCATCCAGTCCGCTTGTGGCCATTATACCACAGGCGATTGGACCACGTTTGTAGATCTCCGCCATCATTTTTTCACGTCCGTCAACCGAGCCTATGAAGGAAAATGTAAACATTCAGTGGCGGCACCAGTTATCGCAGATTGGTAGGGTTATGGGCGTGGCCATTGAGTCCTCGCCCTTTCTGCCTCGTTTATAATTTTTGTACCAGGTTAATTTTTTACGAGGTATTTTGCTAATGTTGTTAATTTTGTACCCTGCTTTGTACCTGGTTACTTTTCTTTAGGAAATATTATCTACCCCTAGCTAGCGCTTTTTAATTCGTTTTAAGAAAAGTAGTGACCCCCATACCTCCATACCCTCCCCCATTGGCGCTGCCACTGTATACACTTTATATAAGAATCAAATACATTCTGTGAAGGCTCAACTTTCTTACTTTTCAGTAATTCGAAGCTTGGGTGTTTTTAACATCGTTCTTAAGTTCACATTGCTTTTTCAATTTGCTTACACTTTCATTTTTTGTAAGATCACTAAATGACAGCTCTGGAAGAAATTTTAAAAGCATGCTCGATTTGCTGATAAAATTTGTTTTGTTTTGTAAATAAGAGAGAAGATTTTTTCTTCTAGCTTTTCATCTGAAGCTAGGCACGTTCTTACCATATTCTTTATTTATGGGAAAACTGAGCCTTAGTGTTCTTACATAAAAGAGTGATTATAAATTGATGGTTACTAAAATTCAATCAAGAATATTACAACTCAAATATCAGATTTTAATTTTTTAAGTCAAAGGCATAACAATTTCAATTCTTCACTTAATATTTACAGATAGCAATTGGCTTTGGGCCAGGGGTGCTGGGATGATATTCTTAATTCTAATGCCAAAAAAACTACATTGTAATTGTTCATACATTTTCTTTCCCCCTTTAACACTTTTATTTTTTCATCACATTGCGATCATTCAGACAGTCGTGAGTTAATTTTACAGGTTTTTCTCAGGGATAAAATTCACTGTTCATGAACCTCAAGCCCAAAAAGTGGCAGTATTGATAACTTGGTGAGGCAGTGTCACCATATGGGCTTCAGAATTTCTGTGACGAATTGGTGAGACAGAATTTGGGACATTTTTGTTTTCCAACTATTTTTGGCACAGCTACATCCAATTTGGAACAATTTACTTACCATACTCTCCTGCTTTCCATAGGGTGTAGTTCTGTATAACATGGCACTGACCAAAAGTGACACATGTGCCACATTTATTGAACGCAGTGCAACTTTGGTCCTTAGCTTGATAATTGTTGCATGTTTCATCTGGAATGCCATTTTCATGTGCATACTGATAAACCCCAAGCATACCTCCACCATGGCATGTTCCTGCATCAGCTGCAAGACAAACATAACAATCAGAGATGTAAATCTTTTTTCTAAGAGTGTTATCTATTTTGAATATTGGATACAAGATTTACAATCCCGGACAAAAATGGTTGACACTTTTCAAGGAAAGCTTGCATTTTCACTTTCTTTTCAAAAATAACTCCCCCCTCCCCAAATTCAATGTTGAATGCACGATTTTGAAGGAGAAATGATAGACCTCCAACATTGCTTTGGGGGGAAAGCTGGGATTCAATTTTACAGGAGCAAGGTAAAGTAGAAAGGGACAAAAATTGCATTTTGTCTCAACATTTTTGTCCGGGATTGTAGTTTAATTACAAATACTACATAAGGGACATACTGGATGCATTAGATTGAAAATAGCTTTAGTTGTCTTTCAAATATTTCTACATATAGTTTGCAGTTCTTACTTTGACATGGATATAATTGAAAGGTAGTTACTAGGTCTTCAGTTCCTCTAATCATATTCGGGTAGTTCTATCTTAATAAATCAATATTACTCAGGCAACATCCATACAAACCCCCATAAAGGTTTAGCATATACTATTTTCTAATGTGAACAAAAAGTACACTAATGGGAAGGAAAATTCTATAAATTAATCCCAGTATTTTTACAAGGCTTTCAAAAATCAGAACAGACGCAAAGATGACAATGACCTATTTTGATCCACAACTGGATTCATATATTTCCTAGTTTTGATTTTCCAATCTATGTTCTAATCTATACTCTGAAGTTTGTCAGATGAAAAGCTTGAGTATGTTTCGAAATATTTCATTTGTTTAAAAACATGTTTAAAAATGACAAGAGAAAAAAAATTCACTATGTGTCTTGTGACAATCATATGTTGTCACTGTGTGTTTTATGATTCAATCACATGTTGTCACCACCTACAGTATAGGGGTTAAGGAAGGATAATATTGGCACTTTACTCACCACAATCAAGAACATTTTGAACTGACAAAAGATTTGATGGCCAGGCACCTTTCCTCATAATGTTTATTCTGTCTGACATGGCACTTGTTGTCCCATGAGCCCAACATGACCCACAATATTGGGGAATGTGTTGGTTTCTTGTTTGGCTGACATAATTCCTTCCACTAACATTGCGCCAATCCCATGCCTTTGGAAGCTCATTTAGGCTCATCAACTCATGGGGCCTTGGAGTTTTGCTATATCAAATGAAAGAGAAAACTACAGTGTACCAAAGGAGTGCATGCAAAGAAAGTGAGAAAATCTATGTAATGAGATTATATTTATTTAAGCTTTGCCTTTTATAGTAAACAAGGGTTGACATTGAAAACTCCAGTTCCTTGAAGCTGTAGCACGTTTTTCAGTAATCTTCGCTCCAAGAAATTCTTAATTTCGATGTGATTAATATCAAATGAGATTAATTTCGATTTGATTCAACCTAAGACCAGAAGATAACCAAAAATTTTGTAAGAGCTTTCAAACAAATTATCTAGGGTATTTTCTTTTATTAACATTTGTTAATAAAATTTTTGATCGATGTTTTCATTATAATGTTTATGATCTTTAGTTTATTTCAAAGGAGGGCCTTTTCAGCACATGATAAGCTACCCTGGCTTGGATATACATATAATAACAAATGAGATGAAATAATGTATAAAGCTTACATTTTTTCTTCGATTCCTTTGTCAAATTCAGGCCTATAGCAAGGCTCTTTGTTGTTCTTCACTACTGAAAGAGCTTGGCAGATTGCAAGGACACAAAACAAAGAAATCAACCTGAAAAGCTCCATGTTTTCTTCCTCCTAATTTCTGGAAGCAGAGACGAATGTTTGAATTTTCAGGAAATGCTTCAAAAGAGATCTGGGGATAGTAATCATGTGACTGCATCACGCGCAGAGTCAGTCGACTCGTGATTAAAGGCGATGTCCCTAACAAAGAAATTAAATTTTCGCCAGGTGGATTTTTCAAATTAACTTTTGCATCCATTGTCTTCTGTTATGCAGAAGGGCCCTGAAATAAATTCCCAAACCTCTGCAAGCTTTCATAGAATTCGTTTCACCCACATTTTCATTCAGATCAGCTTACAAATTGAGGTTTTATATAAAGTTTTCAGCCCCCCTTTGAATTTTTTAAATAGGGGGCAATTTCCACCATTGACTCCCTTGTATAATATAGTTGGTTTAACATAACGAAGATAAACGTGGAACTGATATAGTTCTTTAGTTCTTAATTTTATCTTGGTTTAGCTAAAACGAAAAACATTTCTGTATATTGTATGTCACGAAATATTGTTGTTTGCAAAAGATATTTTTGACGAAGAGACCACACCCTTTTGATGGGGCGACTGCGTTTAAACGGTGTTCCGAATCATCCATTATGTAAGATAGGTTATTTAACCATCCATTGGATTTTAAAATTCACGGTATCGTACGTTTTGTGAACCATTCCGGATGCAATTGGTGATTCCCCCTGAAAGCTTTAAAAATCGTCGAGTCTCGTGAGTTCAGTTTATTCTAAACAAAAATGGCTGCCAGCATTGTGGGAGCTACGTTGTTCGTCTCGCTTTTTCTTCTTGGTCATGGCCTTAGACTCAACAAAGAGCCATGCTATCGTCCAGAAATGGACAAAGACATAAAAGATGTCGTGTGAGTATACAGATTATTTTATTACTGCCATAAATGAAAGCCATTTGCAGGAATGTAAGCCTCACCCTCACGGAAACGATGATTTCTGACAAAGAAACAAAATGACCTCTTCACATTTGATACTTACCATGCAAGTAAAAGAATTTCAAGTTCTTACATTTCTCTTTGTCACAATTTCCATTCCTTGTTTCATCAAAGTATCTTTTCTTGCAAACAATCTTTTCGTGACACAGAATTTAAAATGGCTTTGCGAAAGCAAAGATTTTGAAGCACAATACTAAAGCTTTTCGTCTGAGACAGAGTATAAAACGTCAGATCATAGATCGAAAATTCTATGTTCCATGCATAACTGGGTATATATATATTTACCAACGTAGAGTTTTCGTTTATGTTTCTAAAAAGAAGCTCTTTAGCATTTGGTGTTTAAGAAATTTTGAACAAACTTTTAGCATTGAAGTTAGCAAAAATATTGAGAATTGCTAATCCCAAACTAATATTCTTTTGAAAAATTTGAAAAATCTTTTGAAACTGTAACTCAGCCAATTGACTGTAACTGCTTTTTTAACAAGAACTTCTTGTCATCAATGCAGTATGCATGCAGTGGAAGATATACTGGGGCAGTTGCCCCTTCCACACAGAGTTGAAACAAGTCTGGTGCCCCTTTTTGGAAATGGTTTGGTACAATTATTGTGAAAATTTCCTTTTGAACGTTCAAGGAGGGTCTTCTGTCTGTAGTTAGGGTCTGAAATTGTTGTATAAAGTGTACTTTCATCACCAATTTCTGAAAATTTATCAGCACCCCAACTACCAATTGCCCCTCTTTCAAATGTGTTCTTGATCCACCCCTGTATGCATGATCTCTAGGCAAATGACTCTTATTTTATCATTTTAGAAAGACACCACTGCCACATAAAGTTCTGAATGTAGAAGACCTACCAAAAGCTTGGGATTGGCGTGACATTAATGGTGTCAATTACGTAAGTCAAACAAGAAACCAACACATTCCTCAGTACTGTGGTTCATGTTGGGCCCATGGAACAACCAGTGCTCTTGCTGATAGAATCAACATAATGAGAAAAGCAGTTTGGCCGTCAGCACTTTTGTCAGTCCAAAACGTCCTTGATTGTGGTAAGATGCCTTTCCATTGTATATACAAATTTGGTGATGTCATAGGCAGTCCTATTTGTACCTTCTATTCTGAAGTTTGTAAGGAAAAAGTTTTTAAAGTAATAGAAATGGATAGACATCGTTTCTGTAAAATATGTCAAAATATGGTTTTTGGTGCCATAAAATTTGAAGATGGTACGAAATTGGGGAAACCTTGCAAACTGAACCACTTTACATCCAAATTTATACATGTCACTCTTCGGAGTATAAATCAGGTAATGGGTGAGAGTAAGCAGACAATTTAAATCAAGGTGTGGATTGAAAGCAACATAAAACATGTTTGAAAATTTTCTTTTCGGTCCCCCATAGATTTCAATCGGCCAGATAACCCTGCACAAATTACAATATAAAAGAAATTGGGAATCCTTTGATCATTTACTTTGGCCATATTTTCACAGTTAAGAAGGCTTTAGATAAAGAATATTTGGATATCTGACTGTTTTGGTGTGTAGATTTTCCCTTTAATGCAATCATCGGGCAATATGTTGGCTTGTTTCTGTACCATTGGTGCTTCAAGCATATTTGTTAACTAGGTTGTTATATAGTGACCAATTCCAGGTAGATCTATCAGATAGAAAGGGGCACCTTGGGGACTGCAAATCAGCACTGTAGCTCTGTTGCTTTACTTCTGAGGAGGCACTTTTTCCTGTGTCCCTGGTTTCTACATAATAAGAATGGATTTTAGGAGCCAGGATTGGAGGGTATTTGATAATGAGTTGATATTGGCGCCACTCCTTTCAGGTGCTTGGAAAAGGATGGAAATGCCAATTTTACAATTATAACACTATTACTATTATAACATGAAGAAGATAAGAGATAAATATAAACATATTGGGGGTGGCACACCCTCACACACCTCTGGTAAGCCCATCTCTGCCTTCAAATGCTCTTGGCAAATTAGATCATTCATGACAGCGTTACATCCACAGGTAATGCTGGATCATGCCATGGAGGAGGAAACATAGGAGTCTATGCTTACGCACACCAGAATGGTATTCCAGATGAAACATGCAATAACTACCAAGCTAAGGACCAGAAATGCCTTCCGTTTAACCAATGTGGGACATGTACCACTTTTGGCCAATGTCATGTCATCAAGAATTACACTCTATGGAAAGTTAGTGAATATGGTAGGTGAAGGTTATTTTTTAAGGAATTCAAGAGAAGCTTTTGTGACTTAAGCTGCCTATATGTGGTATCACTCTCACTGATTGTTGATTGAAAGATGGCTTATAAAAAGCAAAGTTCATTTTCTCCTTAAGGCTGATTTCCACGAGGCGAATTTCACAGCGAAATCGCTGATGAAGGCATCAAGGCTTGCGCAGTTTTGATTTTTGATTTCGCAGCGAATTTGCAAGAAAGTAGAAAAGAGTTCTACTCTTTCTCTGCAAAATATTTCGTAGAACCTAATAACCAGTCAAAGCATGGTAAATTTGCTTGATTTGTAAGAAAACAATCTTGGAACATTTGTCATGCATGCAGTTCTGAAAATGGGTGCCTTAGAGTTGAGTTTTGGGGGAAATTTTTATATAATTTCGCAGCGAATTCGCAGCCTCGTGGAAATCAAAGACAATTTTGAAGTGAATTCGCAGCGAATTCGGTGCGAAATTCGCCTCGTGGAAATCATCCTTTATATAAACAATTAGAATTGAGGCATACCTGAGATTTGGTATTTCAATTCATTCTGATAAAACCTTTTTTCACATCTACAGGTAGAGTTCAAGGACGTGACAAAATGATGGCTGAAATATACAAACGAGGGCCCATCTCATGTGGTGTCATGGCAACTGAATCCCTTGAGAATTACGCAGGAGGAATATTTCAAGAATACCACCTTACATCTGAAATCAACCATTCAATCTCGGTTGTTGGCTGGGGAGTGGAGAATGGCACAGAATTTTGGGTAGTCAGAAATTCCTGGGGGCAGCCATGGGGTGAACAAGGCTGGTTCAGATTGCCAACAAGTGCATACAAAGGAGGCAAGGGTAACTTCTATAATATTGGAATAGAACAAGACTGTTCTTGGGCTGTTCCAATTTTGCCCTAATGTAGGACTCAAAGAAATTAAACAAAAAAAAAACGATTTGACAATGTACTTTCTTATTTCTCATTATTATCAATTGTATGTTGCATCTTAAAGTTGAAATTTTGGAAATAAGAATTCCAAACTTTACCATGTTGTAATTTACTGTGCTTTTTGTTTATTTGTTTATTTTTCTTTTCTCTTGATAGGAAAATACACTGTTACTTTAAGTTATAACATAACAGCATGACAGATAAATAAAAGCCAAAAAATATTTGTGTGGTGTTTATATGAAACTGAATATATGATAAAAGCTAACTCGAAAAAAATTTTTTTTGCTTTTCATACTGCCTGTAATTTGTTGTTTTGCAAAGTGTCAAAAACCTCTATGACAAAATTAGCCTGTAAAACACAGACCAGATGATGAAAAGTGCAGACCAGAATGCTGTCATCTTACTGGTCACATTTCTGCAAGGAACACTTTCTTTATATAGCTTTTGTGCAATAGGGTTTGACCATGTGAATTGCATGGTCATGCATCGGACACTCCCACCTTGAAGAGACAGTCGTGCAGTGTCAATAGTTTTCACTTTCCGTTCGCGTGTAACATGAGCCTTGACGATCTGGACAGCTTCCCTATCCGAAGCCGGTTTATTAAAAGCAGGGACATATACACTTGAATCAGTGTAAAGTATGTTTACATAGACACCAACCGCAGATCTACCATGCCAGTCGCTTATGTTAGAATCCGGGCAAGGCATCCGGACAGTTTTGATATCCGGAAAAGTTTTATTGATCATGCGTTTGACTTCTGTAAAGAAACTCTGATCATTATAATCTCCAATAAGCAAGGTGTCCGGTTCAATGAACGACACCATTCCGTCTGCATGCCCGGTCGTATCCAAAGGGTCCGGAACGAATGCTATTGTAGCGTTGAGTGACTGCTCTAAACTGCGGACCAAGTCTTGTCTGGTTTTCAATGAACTAGAGTTGCTGTTTTTGAAGAACCTTTCTGAAACAACAGCTTTTCCATAATGATTGTCGACAACATTTCCACCGTCAACAGTCAGCAAATCATTTGAGACAAAGCCCGTTACACCACGGCTGCTTAAGAACTTTCTGAACGAACTATCAACAAATTTCGCATATGCTTTGGACAAGTACCCTTTCGGCTCAAACTTAAACTTTACCGGTCTGTTCGGATTCACAAAACCGAAATCCCGCGTCCATAAATCGATTTCTTCATTTGTGTATATGCATCTTGCGCTAGATAAGTTGAAATTCCGCTTATCAGATCCGGATCTCCATTGCTGCGGATACAAAACAACAACTTCGTCGTCTCCAGCTGCTATGCTTGCGAGATCGTTCGCAAATTTAGCAATATCGTTGACGTAATTTTTGTAGTAAGGATCGTAAGGCATTGAAACTAGAATTAAATGCTTCTCTGCCTCGACATTTGCCAATGAAAGCATAAAAATGCTGCAAATCGCGATAGGCCAGAAATCCATTGCTTACAACGTTTGGCAAGGTCCAAAACCAAGAATGCTTTTGTTTTGTCCAGGCATCTGGGTTTTGTTCCGGTTGTCAACAACAACAATGCTGTATACAAACAAACTTGATGAACAGGTTGTGATCAAATCAATTCACAAATTAAATTAATGAGGCCGTAGTTGTTCAAAACAATAAACAAACCTATTCGATTATCCTGATACCATTCATTTATACTTCTGCTCGGAGGCGCCACTTTGAAAACTAAAAAATACCATTGAAATTCCTCCAACCAATCAAACTCGGTTCCTTGAATTTGAGGCATTGGCTCGGCTTTGCAGACTCTACTTTTTCTCCTATTTTCAATTTTTTCAACAGAGTCTGCACGCAGGCTAAGGGACAATCGCTCTACGAAAATCTAAAAAAAATGGTGTGTTGTAATTATCGTACGTCACGTAACGTTATCTAATTTGCATGCAGTTTTGTTCAGCAGTTGTTGAAGAGAGTGAGAGAGTTACGTTGCGTTGACGAGTTACGTTGCGTTGACGAGTTACGTTGCGTTGAAGAGATACGTTGCGTTGACGAGTTACGTTGCGTTAAAGAGTAAAGTTGCGTTGAAGAGTTACGTTGCGTTGAAGAGTCGTGGAGTCCAAATTATGAAGAGTTAAGTTTGCGTTGTATATATTATTCTTTTGTAAGTAGCCTTGTTTAGTTGAGAAAATTATTGGAGTCAAGTTTGGAATTGCGTTGTATTCAGTTATGTGTTATCTGGTAGGATTTCATGAACCAGGGCGAAGAAACGAACCTTAAAAAAGGTTTGAGCATGTTCTAGATTGATATTTTTAAAAATATTTATTTAAAAAATTGTAAACCTGAAAAATTCGAATCACTTAGTTCAGTAACCAATTCAGAACGAGGGCATGTCTCATTCCAGAAACGAGGCTATCGCGTATCAGTAACCCTTTGACCAGCGGAGCTGTCTAGTTTCCATACTGCTCGACCTGATGACGTAATTAGTTTACCCTAAACCTAACCCTAAACCTAAACCTAACCCTAAACCTAACCCTAAACCTAACTCTAACCCTAACCCTAACCCTAACCCTTTACTTGAAATAATTAATCATGCTAATTTATGACTATTAATCATGCTTATTTATGACTATCAGGTCGAACAGTATGGAAACTAGACAATTCCTTGACCAGCATGTCTAAAAACATTTTCTTCGCTCTTGCAAAACATTAATCATAAGAAACTTGTACTCACAGTCTATAAAATTTAAAAATATGCACAGTTATTCAGCAAATGTATGAAAAGAAGAGACAACTTGCTGTCATAAGAGTTATAATACTAAAATTTCACACGAGCGACGTAAAGTCGAATGAGTGTCAGATGGCCTGTTTGACGAATACAAAGGCTGGATCGTGTGCATGACTTATAGCATGATTAAGTACACATGGAAATTGAGAGGGAATTTGTTACTTTTCTCATGCTTCTAGTCTCTTCTACATGATTTGTGCGTACGGGAAGTGCATCCAGGTTCTCGGCAGGACCAATTATGTATTTCGTCTAAATTTGATGGAAAAATGTTGGGGGAAAGATAATATTTTGGCAACGTACTTTTTTTGTGATGTAATCTTATGACCTTCAATCTACCTTAACGTAACCAAAAATTAGTCATGGGCGTTCCTTTGAAGTAAAATCGGCGTTCCTTCTGGTGGTAAAAAGGGCGTGGCCAAAAACATTTTGGTTTGTCGCTGGGGCTGTCATTGCTCTAAGATATGGTACTTGTGCTGGACAAACAGCATGACGAGGTGCGGGGACCAGTAGAGCTTTTTTTTGACGTCACACTTTAGAAATTCTGTTACTTTCAGTTTGTACACCCTGGGTACCAGAGCACCAGAGGGAGAGAGAGTGGGTCGAAACAATACGGCCTTCGTTGTTCGACCCACTGATAACCAGGGTATGACGGTAAGTGCCTGTTAAGAAGGTCTTTTCTCTTGCAGCAACAGTATGGTCAGGTAGGGTGGTATGTTCCTCTCACCTCTGCTTTTAGCCTCTCTGACATGAACCATACGTAAGAGGGAAGTGTCTGCTAGCGAGGGTGCTTGTCTTGGGCAACGTCATGATGAGGTGGCGTGCCAAGCGCCTTGAATTGTCTCCCTCGTCACAAAACAGAACGAGAAAAAGAAAACCGATGGGAAAATTTAATTATTTATCCCAGTTCAGTGCAGCTCAGCAAGCATCGATTTTTAGGAAATTTTTAAGGAACATGTCAGATTGGGAAAAGAACTGACAAAAATTAATTCATTTTCTTCTCTTTTTTACGCTACACAACAACCATGTAAATCCGTTTCACATCTGATGTTAGGCACATGGTTTATAATTAATTTCAAAACAAATCAGAAGTATATCAGACCATCGATATCGTAGAACCTGGAACCTCAACCTGACAGCGTGTGTACAGTTTGCTGAGCAATGGGGACTCTGGAGGGGTCTGGAGGGGGGTGAGGAGGGGGTCAGTGGCTGCAGTAACTGCTGTCTTTTGTTCCGTGTCAAAAATTTTATATGATATAAAAAAAAGGATTAAGGCAATAATCAGGTGATCAATGATTAAGTGATTAATCAGTCGTTATCAAAAATAGCAAAACTTGCACACAAGTTCGCGAAACCTACAATATTTTTTTAGAAACTTGAAACATTTTTCCACAGTCCGTCTTATTTTTGAATCAGCCATGCTTGCGTCCTTTATGCTTCAATTCAAAACAATTTTTTCTCAACTGGGAAAGTCATTTTCTTCGTTTACATATCAGGGACCATGTGCCAAGGCCATATATAACAGGGGATCCCCCGTTTCTTTTCTCTGTGGATGAAAGCTATGGTTAATTTGACATTGATATCTGCCCATGACGAAAGCACAGATTCCACCGCTGCGGTCTCCTCACGCGTGCCTCCGCATTGAGATTTTGATGTAACGACAGAATCAGAAAGGAGTGCGGTATTTTAAGCTTTAAAGCTGTGATGAACGCTAAGGAGTTAACCAGGCGACAGATTTTGGCCAGCCACAGCTGAATAAACAATGTACAAGGGGCGTGGCCTGCCATGAGTGCCTCGTTTTTACTCAAGACCCTTGACCCAACCTCGCTTTATGAGACATCTTTAACTCAACACACAAGTGTATGGAAAGATAGGATTGTAGCAAATATGAAACACCGCAATACGCCGAGAATAAACAAGAGTAGTGTATTTATTGTTGTTTATTCTCGGCGTATTGCGGTGTTTCATATTTGCTATATTTTTATCAACTTTTCGCCGCAAGAACTCCTTGGAGCCCGTCGAGCAGCCTGCTACAGTGACCTTTTCTTCATTCACACAAAGATAGGATAATCTGAAAAAGGCCCAGAGCCCCCAAGGTGTAGAGCTGGGAGGGGGCTTAGGGGGCTGAGCGCCTTTGCAAATGCCGTGCAGTTGCCCATTGCTACCTTTTGCTACTGTGTTTTTGAGAAATTCTTCGCGAAGGCCAATGTTTGTACTTTTTAAAGCAAACACCCGATGGTATGGTTAGAGCAAAGGTGAAAGTGTTCTAGTCCATCGTGCATTTAGTTGAATGCTGGGTATGGAAACTCTCAAATTAACTAACCCTGACGGTCAGTAAAAGACTTACGTTTAACTGTATGTGTATATCAATATCACCTTCGTGTATATGAAAATAAAATGTGTTTTTATTATTATAATCTAGTGTATATTAATGAAAATAATAATAGCAGGAAAATTAACTCTAAAAATTGGCTTTGAAAAAAACCGTGAGTTTGTGCCATACGAAAGCCATTCGTCTGACACTCTCCCCGAGTATAAAACGTCAGAACATAGATCAAAATACTACGCTAGGGGATATATATATGTATATACCCAGTTGTGGATCAAAATATTTGCTTTTTTCAAAGCCATGTTTAAATTTTGTACCTAGAAAATCTCCTTTTCGAAGCAGTTACCCTGCAACTGGGTACAAAACGCTTGTTGCTACGTATAAGCAAAGCATTGTTTTGAGTAAATATAGTCCTTTGGTTTCAGAAATATTTCTTGGTTTTTTTTAGAATTTTGGCGGCTTTATTTGTAGCCAGATTAGACTTTTCCATCTTGGGTTTTTGGTAAAAAATTTGGATAATCTCATGGAAATAACATCTGCAGAAAGAAAGAGTGTACACTCATTTGCAGTTTGCTCTTTGGTATCGGAAACGAATGCATCATTGTCTAATGCATAAACTGGATAAGGAGTACATATGTTATGAAACGGTGTGCTCACTCAGAAGAGAAGTTAGGGAGATTGGTTAAGAAATCTTCCCTGATAGACAACTGATTACAGTTTGGTGCTTTATTGTTAATAATGACAAATGGTATTGAATTTTGCTTTATCTTTGATTAGATAGAAAAACGTAAAAATTAGACATGCTTTATTTCAGAGGGCCCAGGATTCACTCTAGTTGCTATTTGAAGTGACGTCACTAGTACCCGGTCTCAGTGATTTGCCGCGAAACTCTCGGTAGCTGATAGACAAGGAACGCAAATAAAAAGAGACAGTTTCACTTCGTGGTATTGTTTTCTTGGAAAGGACAATTTCAGTTGAATATTTTCTACTCGTGACGTGTTTGTGGTGGAAATATTTTACAATACTTTACTTTTAATTGTTATTTCTACTTTCATACTTTTACACTCTATTTTTACAAATATCTTAGCAGAACCATACAAGTAGACTAAAGGTGATCAAAGAAAGCTTGTAGGGTAAGGATTGGGGGCATGAAAGCACACAAAATTGAATGCGAGGGAATGGGGAATAGTTCACCGAGAAAATTTATAATAAATTAAAGGCCTACCGTTAAAATTGTAAGCAATTTCTTGTCACGGAAGGGGGCAGATATGCAAAAGAACAAAAGCCCAACACTAACTTGTGCATCTCAGGCCCCTTGCATTTATGGGTAAAATGAACAGGGACAAAAGGTTCCTCGCCATTTTATATCAATAAGACTCGCGTGATTAAAATAAACCTTTTAGAAATCAGTAATAGCTTGGAAATAGGTAACTCAAATGACTAAATGGGTCAAGATTTTCCTGCTATCAAAAATATTGAAACAATCATTCTGTGATCGATAAACAAACATCGGGTTACAGCTGACGTAATATGTTACTTCGCAAGGTGACGAGTTTATAAATATGGATGTTTTTAAAGATCGGCGTTGTTGATTAACATAATGCCAAGTGTTCTGTGTAAGTGAGTCGAAGTTTCACAAATCTACAATACTTGACAAAAGTCTTTGGAACACCCAGCCATAAGATAAAGAAATACCCCCCCTCCCCCCAAAACAATGTTGGTTGAAAAGCCTGGCTGATAAAGAAACATTAGATGAATTTTAAGCTTTGGAACTGTTATTATTCAACATTGTTTGAAGGGGGAGAGGGGGTATTGCTTCTGAATTTATGCGAAAATTTAGCTTAATGTACCAAGACCTTTTGGCAAGCATTGTATGTTGCATAGATCGAAGAATATTCCGGGATCTAATCATGATTATTATGATGAAATAGTTCAGGCTTTCCAGTCAATACACTTGCCTGTGCCTCATCTCAAAGGGTAACCCACTCTTGCGAATAGCGTGCGAGATTCACATTAAAACAAAAAGATTTTCAGGGACTTTTTGATGAAACAATCTGATTTCCATCCAAGGTGTACGATATTTGCATGGACTGATTTGCCCCTCGCTTCATTATGTTAACAAACGTGTATACAAATGGTATTGATGTTAAGTCATTAAAAGCAATGAGATGGTTCGGAAGGGAAGAAATATTTTCCATTTAAACATATGAAACATTAAATAAAAGCTTTGTGGGTCTTGTGAAAAGAACTGCTTCTAGAGAGATCAAAATATTGGATTTTTTCGTCTATAATACTGCATTAATTACTTTTAATAACTTTTAATAAAACTAGCCTTACCTTTAGAGGGATTAACAGTTGCAGGAGGAGGCAATCATGAAAAATTATGCCTTCTATTGTGGAGTACCTAAAAAGGGTATTTTGGTGTTCTTGAATATTGTTACAAAAAATTTCTTACTTTTAGAGGGTTAAGGGCTTTTTGAAAACTAATTTTTCATCAAAGGAATGTTTGAGGGGGGTTTGGGTTTTTTTTGAAATTTTCAAACAGTTGGTTGAAAAGTTATGAATTCGTCGGGGCGTGTTGGAAGTTTGGCGTTTTTCGCCCTGTTTTTATGGAGATAGGCAATTAGGGGGTTGCGCAGAAATGGGGTTTTTACAACAACAGAGGTTATACTTTAGAATGGTGCGTTCTATGGGGGTTTTAGGGGGTATTTGATTGACAAGGGGGTTCGTGGCTTGCTATCAATGAGTTGAGGCTTTCTTGATATCTTCTAAAGCCTCTTCGATTTGATATGTGCATAAATTAATACGAGATAACTAAGTGGTATCTAAAATCCGGGGGTGATTAAATAAATTATAAAGAAGCTCGCACCCCCGTCAAAAATCACTCTGTGATATCTATACAAGTATGGACTGCTTTGAGATATTGTAATAACATCAATGGTCTTTTTGTAGTTATGACAACCCTCCAATTACAATGTCTTTATCGTTTAACGGGTCATTAGGCCCATCAACGGAGTCGTCATATCCAGTAGCTATGCACATCCCACATCCACAATGCTTCCCTGTGTATCCGCGACCATCGATATTCTGCGACAGACTCCCATTGTCCTCCATCATTACATGTTCAAAAGGTTTTATTTCACTACAGCGCCGATCATATACAATCGAACCCTCGAGGTATGCGCTATTGTTAACGGTATATTGCAACGGCGTTACGTCATTCGCATCGATAACAAGCGAACTTTCATGTGCGAATTTACGCGATATGTTTGATAAAACACTGCCATTTTGTCCACTATACATGTTATACTCCCGGGTAGGCCTTCGAAACCATGCTGCTTGGTAAATCTCGTTTCCAGAATAGCCTCGTCCATATGTTCCGTATACGTTATTGTCATCGCTATAGATATATCCCGCTAAACCATCATAATAATCATAACAATCCATTCCGTTGCAAACTTCGGATCCTAACCGTGAAACAGTTCCATCATACATGTAAGCATGGCCTGCTCCTACGCAGTTTCCATTCATGCAACCCTCAAGACTCTCGGTATAAGCACTTTCTCTGCTAGCTGAATCAGTGTCCGAAGTTGTCCCTAAATATCTGTGTGAATTCGGACGCAAGTACATAGATCTTATATCAGCATTTGGCATATCATAACAATGGGAATCGACAAATGGAGAGACCAACTCAGAACCAGTACAGGTGCCAGAGTCACTACCATTACTCCGACAGGAGCCTTCGTATCTCAACGACCCACTGCCCTCCTTACGACACTCGTTCCAGTCTACTGGACCTTTGTACGACATTTCACATGTTCCACAATTCAATCCGTCTCCTGACAGTTGCTTCACAACATGGGGGGCAAATCTGTTATCTGATCTATTTACAAAAGAGGCCAGCCTCTCTTCAGGTATATGATCCCCATCCACGTGTTCAGTTCTAAATGTCTGTCTTTGCCTATGTTTCCTTTTAGCTCGCGATTGTCTGCGACTTTTTCCACCTTGCTTGAGATCATAACATCTGCTTTTGATTTCGCCATAATGCCTCGAATCTTCAACACAATTCCTTGCTCTGCAACTTTCCAGACGATCCGTGTCTTTTCTCCTACCCGAGGTGTCAAATTTGTCTTTTGTTGACGTTCTCGAGTACAAATCCTTTTGATTGCATTCCGGCCATTCACAGTCGCATTCCTTCTCGAATTTATCCTTCTCTTTACATCTGTTCTCTAAAATGACCTTTGCCAGGACACCCGTTTTAGTCTCCAAACATTTACTATTCAGATCAAACATCCTTTTCTTATCGCTTTCCTTGCTCCATCGTTTATTTCCTTGGTAAAAATAACTCCCATTAGGGACATCTGCATTCCCATTATCAAAATTCCGTTCTGAATTCTCTTCAAAATCGGCAATCGAATTTTCGATCTCCTCCCTGGTCCCGCAAATTGATCCCCGCATGTCCCTTTCACTTTGACAGACACGCAACAAATCGTCATGATCCTGCGCAAGGTCATTCTTTTTCTGGCGCGAATACC